ATGAACTGACGGTCTTCGGTAGAGATTTACTCGTTTTCTCCGGATTATAGTTCTGAATTCGACGACCCGATTGGAGACCTGTCGATCTACCTATCTCATTGCAAGTGGGAATATATCAATAGAACGACTGACGGTACCTTCATGCAGAGGTGCTTGAATTTTAAGCATGATGTGCCTTTTGATTTATCTCCGTCAACGGAGTCTGCTGGATGAGGCAGGTGGAATTGCGCTAGAGGATATCTTATTGTGCACTGCGTCGCGCGCACGCTACTGATGCTAGACTCGAAGGTCAATGACAATGACGCTTTAGTAGGTAAGTATTTAAGCATTAGGCAAGTGCAATTTTGAAACGGAAGATTAATTTAATCCATGCTCTGCCTCCTCTAATTCCACACAACTCCATATGGTCATATAAAATTTTGCGAGGTTTTTCACATTTATTCTGAACTTGGTAACTGATATGAAAGTTTAAAGGTCATTTTATTTTTCCTTGTAACAAAAAATAGATTTCCTATGAGTATGCGCTCGACAGACTGCGTTCTCTCGTTTGCTAAACAAAATGCACACAATTTCTCCTTAACTAATTGACGTATAAGCCCCTAGCATGCAAACATACGCTTGCTTCATTTCCAAAGGACATTTTCAGATTTCATCCATAAAGTGAGGATGTAAAAATATGGAACTTAAGATTCATAACCATCCCTACCTTACTAAAGAGCCCAATATGAATTCAAAATATCTATCCCAACACATACCGTGGAAAAAAACAGTTTAAAATTTAAAAAAATTTTAATCCCTCAACTACGTATTTTAGAACAAACTGATAAGAGGTTTTACAAAAAACATATCTGGCAAGTCTGCCTTAATTTAATCGCCAGTAAAGAAAAGGAGCACAAATCCCAAGAATTCGAAGAAAAATGTTTTAATTCCGAAAAACTTCTTTAAAGGCGGTGCAAATCGCACTGGTTTTCTGATTATCTAATAAATCAGTCACCTGAAAACAGGCAAAAATCTCAGTTTTTCCTGGGAGGTGGCAAGCGTTCATAGGCAGTTGAATCAAGTAATTTAAACAATATTATACGAATATAGTTAACGAAAATAAAAGTACTGAATTAAACAATTATCGCCAGAAATCCACTTTCTTTTTTTTCACTCATTACCAATTCACCATTATTAGTACCAACCAATTCCCGTTTCCGGTTAGATCTCGATATATAAACAAGCATAACACTTTCTGGCGAATGATTTGATCTTCAATTCACAAAACTGTTAAATGGCTTATCATGCGGAAAACTATGTTGTATAATTGCATTGCCTAATAGCTATTAGGTTAGCATTTTATCATTGCTAATTAGTTCATACTATTATGTGGCGACAGGATCACATTTATGAATTCTGAAGTAGCATATGGGAAATCCATAATTAGATCGTGTACTTATTTACATTTCATGAACAAAAAAACGTTTTCTTACATAATGACTTGTTAGTTGCAGGTGTATTAAACATTGGCAAGACAGACATTCTTTTCACCTTTATTGTGAATACGACAGACAGAGTGGAGATTTTATTACTGATTGCAGTTCAGCGCGAAGGTGTATCAATTCAAAAATAAATAAAATTAATATATAGCTCGACAAGGTCAAAAATAATGATTACTATTACCGACGTTAGGACCATTGTACGCGTAATGAGTGCATGAAGTCTTTGTGCAAACGTGATTGTTAATACAATTGTACGCTGCTATGAATTATATGACAGTAACGCTGCACCTACGAGCACTTTTTATTTGTGCATTTGCAGATATTCATCAAGCGCTATAATTCGCCGCATCCACCAAACGAGAAAAAGATATAGCTTTACCAACATACAACACGTACTTTGATTATATATTCGACTATCTGGGATATTATAAAGCAAAATGCTTTAAAAATTTGCATTCGAAAAGTTGACGGTAATTGACGACCTACCATCAACTGTAAACACGAAAAGAAACACAGCTGCTCAGAAATTAGCAAAATCAGAGACCTCCCACCTAATATTTGAAAGATTTTAGCCGTTAGTAGTTCACTGCATTCAAGTGTTGTTTTTGAGAATATTATTAGAATTCAAATGACCAAATCATTATATGAAAATTTACGATGTATGGACATGCAATGCAAACCTGAAAATCATGTACGCTGTCATAAATGATTGTAAGGTGGCTCCAGTAGATTGCATTTTTCGTTAGTTCGTTATGGATGGTGTGAGAAGTGAGGCCGTATACCGTTCGCTCTGTCTTAATTTTCCCCGCATAGTTAATGTAAATTCCATTTATACACGTGATCGCTTTTGTTGGTTGCAAGATATAAGGCGGCAAACTGAAACTGCTTGTGCTTCTCCATAGTACAGTGATAAAGAAAATACAATTTTTTCTCTGATAGTACGTGACTTTCCTTACTTTCTCTTAAACAAATTGTTTACTATATTTTTAAAGGCATGTGGTCGCGCTGTCGTAACCCCCAAAACTTTGGTTTCTGCAACCGCCTAATTTATGTCTATGCGATCTCTGAAAGACAGTTGGTTCGTCCTCAACCAATGAAATTTGCCTGCCGCCAACATATCCACATAAAGCCATCCGCGTATTTCGACAATATTAAATCTATTTTAAAAATGACCCCAGTGGGATTTTGAATGCTTAACCGTGGAGCTGGTCGATTATTCAAAAGTCAGTATTTATGCGATGGTCAAAGTCTTTGGTAAGAAAAAGTTAACGAACTGTTTTCTCTTCTGCATGCATTCATAACGTACCATTAATGAGAGTTATTGAAAGATGCGACTATTTTGTCTACCGTCAACCAACGTGGGTCATAAACCGACCATACACGTTTCTGACATATGATTTAGTTAGGTTTCAGTAAGAACTTTTTACATAGAATTTCCCTTTTTATAACATTGGAGAGTTATGCAAAGTATAGGCTGCTTACTTGTTGCAGAATCGTTTTCCGAAACGCACTCTACCTAATTCATACATGGACTTATATCGTGTAAGTAAAGAAATATCAAATATCCCAATTTTAACATTGGAAATGAGCAATACTATCATTGTTTAAGCGTAAATGTAAGCGATTTCTTCGTTGATCCTTTTTGCACGTAACCGTTGCAACGGACGTGCACCATAATTTGCCGCGAAAATGATACTAGTGGACGCATTTTAAAAGCACCTATTATTACTCCGTACGTAGGGTAAACACATGACGAAAATAGTGATTGTTTGGAATGTTGCAAATTTAAGTTACTAACGATGAAGCTAAAGATGGTCAGATACCAGGTATATCTTTTATTATATTTACAATCAAGATACGTATCCCAGTATGCCGTAATTCACTAATGTTTATATTAAAGATCATAAAAAGTTTGCGCTTCTCAAAACAGCAAACTTGGGGGGATTTCTGGAAACCAGTGAGACGAGTTGAGAAATGTTCGCTTATATTTTCCGACCAAGGACTAGAATCCAAGTAACAAACAAACTTGCGTTACGAAACAGCAAAAGCGTTGGCCAAAGAAAAAGTGCTTTGAATTAAACCATTAAGTACATAGAATTACTTAGAGTTTGTGAACTGTATGATATGTGTAAATGTTAACGCACGTTTCAAAACTCTGAAGATGAATAATTCCCTAAATATTTGACAAGAGTAATAGATGCAGGTTAACCATGAACTTTAATAGAATGCCGTTCTGGGCACATCATGCTTATCTTCCATACGCAATAAAATACCTGTTCTAATCGGATGTTGCATGAAGAAGTGCTTCTGGGAAATTGCAACTTGCTTGCTCCTGACCCTAATGCTCCATTTGCTTCGCTGCTCTTTTTTCGAAGATGGTATCGTTTTAAATTATATTCCTTTTTGTTACTCATCAACAAGCAAGAGACCGGTAGTTATTGGCGTGATTTTACACGAATTCGTAGAACGGGGATGTAAGATTTGAAAATATGATGCTGACCACCTTTATCTCCGTTGGTTTGGCGTTGGTCGACTTGATTCCTCTGATTTTATTAAAGCCAAGAAATTGAAACTTTCAGTAAACAGATGCACTTGCTACGGTCAGTAAGCGCTCGTCGGCACACAGTTTTACCTAACCCTTGCTGTCGCTAATCTCCCCTATGTTTCCCAATATTTGCGGTCCAAAATCTCCTCAATAGTGAGAATAGCTCCTTTCCAGATAGTTGAAATCACACCATCCGTATTCTCCAAAACTCGTCATTAACAAAATACTCTTGATAATATTTTACGATCACATTTTTTTAGATACATTGCAATAAATTGTTTTTGAATTAATATATTGCGATATCGTATTGGGCCAATTGCAATTCAAACAACATAAACAATAGTTTATTTTACCTGTCTGGCATTAAAATGTGTCCGGAATACAAACTGTGGACTCCATAAGAACGCCATCTTTGACGTCAAATTGTAGAATTAAGACAAACATTTTTATCCTCATAATGTTTCACATATGCGCGTCTATTGGTGCGTTCTTTATTCAGTGTTATCATGATAGCAACATTGGCATTAAATCAAATATCCCGCCATTAGATATAAGACTACGACGCAAGTATGAGAAAACACGGCATACGGAAAAAACATTCGGTTCATTATTTTGTTTTTAAGTTCTGCGAGCGGCAGCTAAAACAAGCATTAAATGTTTTGGCTGACCCTATGCCAAACAACATAGGTGGTATTATGCCTTAAAAGGGATGTTAAAACGTCGCCTGGATGTGCTTCATTCACATCACGCTGAACAAAGACAATATTCCTTATTTTTATAAATAAGGCTGATTTTGTTAATATAAGTCTTACATTTTAGGAAAAGAATTTCTCCGATGACATGGATCATAAACATTCATGACTGATTCAAAACTATATGAACTTTTCGAAGGCCTAAATGTCAATCTAACCTGCAGAATAAAGAGAAATCCGATGAATCCTATCACCTGGAGGAAGGATGGAACATTGATATCCATGGGGAATTCAGCGTACATCAACATAATTGAAACTAAGTCAGTTCATTCAAACAAACTTTTTAGTGTACATTGTTTCTGCCATAAATGTGATTGCATTTTTCCCAGTCAAACCTCGTAGTGTATGCCATTGTTCATCTTAAATAGTTTATAATTATGAACATTATAGGCATGCCTAAAATCTTCTTCTTAAACTGGTTAGACAAACAAGAACTCACATATATCTGGTGGCGTTGCATTTCTACTGTTTGGAATGGCTCATCTAGAAGGTCCAAATGTGTGTAATCGTCTCAAAAACAACTTTAAGCGGAACTATATTTTTCAGTTTTTTTTAAAATTATCGAATAAAGACAAAACTTTTTCTGTGTTTTAACTTGTTCTTGCAGTGATTATTCTAGTTTGTTCTGACATTGTTTGAAAAGTTTATGTTATTCGTCCTGATCGTTCTGTAACAAATTTGTGGAAGGGCAACGCCAAATGAAACAACGCCGCTGAGCAACTGTTAGCTTTACTATCAATAAATAAATGGCTCGTGCGTCTGCATTAATCTATTAGGCATTATTAGACGACACAGTACGAGAGTTGCAATTATTGTCGTAATTTGATAAAAGATAACTGTGTCAATGCTGTTAAGTAAATTAACTACCACAACGAGATTACTTCGGCTGGCTCATTTGACTCCATATTAGTTCGCTGCCTTCCGTGTGGACAATCTTTCAATATATGAGCAAACATATCACTATATACTGCGTACATATGTATAAAAGGAGTCTTATAAAATAACTTGCAAACGGAAGCAAACTCCTTTGCTATCACTTAAGATACATAAACGCCGGTGAGTGTCTATCAGGCATGCTTGATGCAAAAAGCTGTGCAAAACATGCTCTCTATGGCATTACGTTTGTGATAACGGAGCTGTGGGCTTTTAAAAAGCCACATCCATTAGCTTACAAAAGCTGTAAACGGATTTTTAAATAAAATTTGATTTAGTTGCGGGGTCCAACAAAAGGGTCTGCATGAGTAGTCCGATAGACAGTATACGTCGATCAAACGGATAGTTATAAAAATCCGTTTAGGTGACGGGCACCTATGAACGTAGGAGTTTGCAAACGGCAGTTAAAAAAAGAAATTCGTGGTGTCCTTTAATTTTTTAATTATATCAAGTCAAAATATCCCTCCTCTTGTTGTTACATAAGTGACAGTATACAAATACTAAACAGCTAGAAGAATAAGAGTCCACTACGTTATTTATAATTGTAAAATTGCATTTTTATTATATAAATGTAGCATGAAGACAGGTTTTACTTAGGATCCTCTTGGTTAGACTGCTGCACATTCTTATCTCTTGCAAAAACTGCCTCCACACAACCGAACTATAGATTGCACTTTATGCAGCTTGCAGAATTTTTATTTCCTGCAATCTGGCCTTCTTGAAAGAAGTTATCACTCACATTAATACTCTCTTAGGAAATCCTCCCTCCTGTCTCTGTCAGGCCTAAAACTGTCTGACAGTGGAAATTATTCATGTCAGAGCCAAACGGAGAATGGAACGCTAAGCAAGTGGATTTTTTTAAAAGGTGAGCTTTGGGCGGCTGTTGTACAACAACCACAGACGCGTTTACTGCCGTGGCTTTTCGCTCACGTATACGTGTCATTTGCGTCGGATTTTTTAGTTGCACACTGCATTTTCACAGCCCACCGGATTTTTTATCACACAAGACAAATGCAAGACTTTGGACACACTAATCAAATGTCGCATCGCTGTAAGCAGGACTTCGAATTTTAAAAATAAACGAGCAACTAACCCTTACAGTCTTATTTAAGATGGTAATCGCTGTGCGATATAACAAGATGTAAGTAGTAGAACATGCACCATCTATATGCAGGTTATAATAAATCTCACGGAACCTGTAAAAACTGAACGTGTGCGTTTATGCGTGTGCAAGTATCCCTAAAAAGGTTCTAACAGATACGGGGAAGAGTTAAATGGTCAGATCCGGCTTAATAGACATTGTTTAGAAACCCTGCCCAGGCCCAGGTTTTGAGGCATTAACAAGTCAAACGTACAAGCACTGAACCACGGGTTTGGCTCTCTGTAATGGGGCACATTCAGCATGACAGAGTGCTAAAGCTGATTAGCAAACAGCATGATCTCGAATTGCAATTCTTGCAACCTAGGACTGGGTAAGTTAGTATAACGAGGGTTACTAAACCATAAATGGCTGTCCCGGTCGCCCTGCTGTCTTTAACAATATCATTTTATCTATTTTTTTAAACTGAGCTTTTGAACGCGTGCAGGAGTCAACGGTCAGCGATAGAAGCAATTAGAAAACAAGCAAAAATCGCAGGGTATGCTTCACAACCACTAAACATTAGGCATTCTCTGCCAAACAATAGGGACGTTTCAGAAGCGATTAAAAACCTTGCTGCGAAACTAGGTGTTGGAATGTCACACGAGCACTAAGCCCTTTTCCTCAGCAATGACAAGAAGATTAAAGGCCAGTTTAATCTGCAAGACCAATTGAGGGTATTGCATCGCATTCCGGGCCAAAATTGCCTTTGTAAATACACTGGCCAGACTGGATACCTGCCCGCATCTCGTGTACACAAGCATAGGGCACCTGTGTGATGAGGGGACGAATTGTCACACCTGCCAAATTGGTCAAGAGTCCAACTTTGCAGCCAACAAGATAATTGTTCATGCCAGGAGTAAAACAAGCCGAGAATAGATTGAATCCCGGAGCTCAAATGAGGACTCAGTCACACGATTTATTGATCTGGCGTCCACGCATAGAGTCCTGTACCATCGGTCGATGATTTTCTCTTTGGCCCTATAACTGTTGCTTGTTCCGCTGTTGCACTATCTCGGACGACGGACTCTTTCACAAGTTTCAAAGCCCAGAACAGTGAACAGATTGTTTCTTTCATCGACTATTCTTCATCTTCGAGTTATAAGTACATGTGGACCTCGACGATTTGCCTCCATTTGCAATTTATGTGCGTATGCTACTAACCTCTGGGCAACAACCTGGCAGAGTTCCGCATCAAGCCGCTAGGTACAATGAGACGTGCAGGTTTCCTTATACGATTGATAACCATCCCTCTATCGTGTAGTTATATCGCTAAAATAAGTTGATTTACTCTAAAATTATAAGGCACGTTCTAGGATATGGACTCAGTCATATGTTGATCAAAAGGGTTCTAAGTAATTTATTGTAACAAACTTCACGTTGAATGTCAGCACTTGAGGGCAGTTTGGCTTCAGTTGACCCTTGGATCCGTTCACTTCTCTCAATTCTAGGCAATATGCTCGACGCAAAAGAAGCATAGCTAAATATGCAATGCATGTCATTTGTCCTAACCCTATTTACGGAGAATCTGAGATCCGCAAATTTTTAACAAAACATGTACTTAGACACTTGCATATAAATTTGGATGTTGCGCATAGGCCCCCTTCCGACGCAAAATCGTTTTCCTCTTTTTGCATATGTTAATATTGCTTGGCTGATTACCTGAGTTGTTTAAGTTTCTTAATCTGACGGCTCGCAGTTTCTTCATTCTAATGGTAAGCGCCCAAAATCCACGCATACGTTTTGTAGTCAACGCGTATAAATGGACGCATTTCAGGTTCATTTAAGACCCTCAGAATAAATATAACACCAAGTTTACGAGCATTTAAAAGCTAATAGAGATTTGCTTGTCATTTCCACAAACATCAACGGTTATGCAGACACTCGAAGCAAATTCAACAGAATACCGTGTTTAACTTGGTCTAGTAATATAGTTTATGACAATCAATGCTTCAGCATCCCTCTTATAGATATTCGTACTTGTATTTCTTTTTAAGTTGTTTTGTAAGGTATAAAACATTTAACACAATCTTTAGTTAAGTGTACGATGCGTACACGGAAATAGCAATCGGCGCATGGAATAAACGCAGAAAAATCATTGGCAGCACACATGAACCATTTAATAACGAAAATACAAAATTTATTGCAGGCAGTCCTGTACCATCGTTCGATGATTTTCCATCTTGCCCTGTAACTGTCGCTTGTTCTGTTGTTGTACTATCTCTGACGACGCACTCTTTCACAAATTGCAAAGCCCAGAACAATGGACAGATTGTTTCTGTCATCGACTATTCTTCATCTTTACTTATAAATATATGTGGAACTTGACGATTTGCCTCCATTTGCAACTTATCTGCGTATGCTACTAGCCGCTGTGCAACAACCTGACAGAGCTCCGCATTAAGCCGCTAGGTACGATGAGACAAGCAGCTTTCCTTAGACGATTGACGACCATCACTCTACTGTCTAGTTATATCGCTAAAATAAGTTGCTTTACCTAAAAGTAAAAGGCACGCTCTAGGATATTGATTCCGTCGTATGTTGATCAACAAAATTCTAAGTAATTTCTTGTAACAAACTTCACGTTGAATGTCAGCACGTGAGGGCAGTTTGACTTCAGTTGACCCTTGGATCCGTTCACTTCTCTCAATTCTAGGCAATATGCTCGACGCAAAAGAAGCATAGCTAAATATGCAATGCATGTCATTTGTCCTAACCCTATTCACGGAGAATCTGAGATCCGCAAATTTTTAACAAAACATGTACTCAGACACTTGCATATAAATTTGGATGTTGCGCATAGGCCTCCTTCCGACGCAAACTCGTTTGCACCTTTCTAAATATGTTAATATTGCTTGGCTGATCACCTGAGATGTTTAAGTTTCTTAGTCTGGCGACTCGCAGCTTTTTTCATTTTAATAGTCAGTGTTCAAAATCCGCGTTTATGTTTTGTAGTCAACACCATGTATACGAGCATTTAAAAGCTAACAGAGATTCGCTTGTCGTTTTCACAAAGAGCAACGGTTATGCTGACTCTCTAAGCAAATTCAGCAAAATAACGTGTGTAAACTGGTCTATTATTATATTTTATGCCAATCAATACTCCAGCATCCTTCCTATTGATCTTCTTACTTGCACTTCATTTAAAGTTGCTTTGTAAGGTAAAGAACGTTTAAAACAATCTTTATTTAAGTGTAAGATGCGTACACGGAAATAGCAATCGGCGCATGGAATAAACGCAGGAAAATCATTGGCAGCACACATTAACCATTTAATAACGAAAATACAAAATTTATTGCAGGCAATAAAAGTGAGATACTCACAACTCAAGTATTCAATTACCCATCATTTAGGGGAAACGTAGCATTAAACGAAAACAGGAAAGAGAATTAATAGCTACGGCATGAAGAAGGCACAAAATAAAAAGAAGATGTGGTAAGCAGAGCATACATGGAGTTAAAGTTTTTCAATTACACAGGACACCGTTTGTCATAAAAAGCCAACGCCTCCGACGCGCAGCCAGGGTAAAAGTGGGAGGAGGGTCTGGTCGCCGCTCCTTTTTTGTCGGTTTTCCGCTTTTACTGCTTCGACCTACTGCGTTCGGCATACGCGATACCGCTTCCGGGTCTTGTGCCATTCTCTGGAGCTGCGACGAAAATTATGATCCAAGAAAGATGATACGTCCTGTCCTCCATAAATTTACTTGCGCATAAGTTATGTTCACCACGTCCGGTAGGCTGACGGAAACAGATAGATGACTTTGGTAGTTTTCTGTTGGGCCTTTTAATGCCTTCACCCAGCACCGTAAATTGCAGCTTCGTCTTTATGCTCATTTCTAACTGTGACGGAACTGGACGGGCCAATGATGACCTTATAGGGTTTTTTTAACGAACTGTGTCACCATGCTGTGGGTTACTTTTCACTTTGTCCCTCTGCCCAAATCAGACTTTCTGTTTTCGTCGAAATCACATACCTCGAGGGGGTTTGTCCATATCTGCGTTTTTAAAGATCCCCGTACTTCGCTGTGTGATAGAATACCGGCATACAAAGCGCTTACATATCTCCTCGTGTAGCAATGATTATTTTCTGTCAGTGAACAAAAGTTTCCGTATAATGTTCTACGTGCCTTTTGCATCACTATGTTCGTAAACATCTATGGGAATGTGAAAGCTTTTTTCGAATTATTGCGCGCGGTCCCACCCGATTTATGTTGACGTATCACTACTTCACCCGTGTTTGCTTACACAGTCACACAGACGACTGTTGCGAAGCCGCATACATGCAATTAGCACTTTCAGGGCACTTCGCTCAAAATACACTAGAGTACTCCAACAGGAATCATAATGGGGTTGCGTGAGTGTAGAGGACTGCATTTGCCTCTTGCAACGAGCAGGTGCGTCGGTGGCTACCATGTTGTGTTTAAAAAAGCACATATTATTGGGCGTGCCGAAAAATGTGTAGCCAGTTGACGGTTAAGGTCTAGTAACAGGATTTTGCTTTTCGGCATATCGTGAAACCGACTTGTAATACTACCTCCTATATTTCCTGGCCCGAATAAACGGTCTAGCGGACATAAACATGATGAATCAAGACTGAAATGCGACAGTTTACTTGCCTATATTAGATAGTTTGTACTTTTATAAGATTGTCAAAATTCCACTCTGAATAAGGACCTAGCAAAGGACAAATCGAAAAAATCTTCCTCCCCATAATCTATTTTTATATTGTAGTTCGAAGTAAAACCGACACCAGTAGAAAGGAGGGAAGTCATGTCGTTGCTGACGAACGTGAGTTGACAATTATATATGAAATTTTATCTTGATGTAATTTCTTAATGAATGTCGTGTCTAAAACAAAATTCTTATCTTTTGCAATTTAAAAGTTCTTTGAAGTTCAGGCACATTTGATTAGCAATTTTGGCGTTGTCCCAAGTTTGGTTTTAAAGTATCCGCACTGACTTTCAAGTGGCACAAATTCCTCGTTTACCCGATTTTTTATAGATGCATTCACTTCCCTATTAGTGCCGGATATAAGGTGGGACGTAGGTCTTATGTTTGGAAGCCTAACTTAAAATCAGCATACCTGAACTTTGCATGTCTGATAAATGAAACATGCCGTCTTATCATGATTCAACAAAAAACATGTCCTACAATTTGACTCACAGGCAAATTTGTTCATTGTGTGTGGAAAGATTTTCAACGACGCGCCGTATCACAGGCTCTGTATTGCAAAACGAAACACATCACGGTAAATCTAAAGAAGAACAAACATAGTGTGGATATTAAAATAAATTCTTATTTGCTGTTAATTTTGCCTGTCTGATAATGGCGCCAAAGCCACAACCAGTTTCTTAGAGCTCTCCTAATTTTTGCGACAGTAATTCAAAAATGTTCTTAATTCTATTCCTTGAAAAGGGATGCAGACAGATGGAACTTTAACTTCTAACTACGCAAATGTATTTTGCAGGTGGTACTAATTTTTGACAACTAGGAGTACCGACAGAAATTAATTGCACAGTCATACCCAATGCAAAACATTGATGTCTATCCCATAGCATACTGTATTCTATCCGTTTAATTCATAATCCGGTTATATTGAAGACCAAAAATCAGATATTTTTTTAAGCAGACATTGTTTCACCACAAAAGGAACATTTGCGTGTACATGTCCTTGCGGTCGCATACCACTGCCTGTTTAGACTGGTAAACGTCACTACTAGTTTTACCAGTAGCCACAGAATGAAGATATCTCAATCGTGATTTCCAAAGCAACGCGCTATTTAAAGTTCGCGGAATCTTCTTTAATTATATTTGGAAAAGTCTACTGCAAAAATGAATCCAGTAGGGCGAGCAGGAGTTCCGAGCACACAGTTAATAATAGCGTTTCCAAAAAGGCGCTAGTTTGCTGTCCATTTGGCGGGTATTTGCGGCACTCTTTGGAGATATCGACTACCCAAATAAATAGGCATCTTTACTTACAACGGATCTTCGCACATCTGTTTATATAGGTATCTCGTTTTCAGTACATTGGGAGACAGACCTTTATAGAAATTAATCTGGTTTGTCGGTTCATGCGGTTCACTACTCCGATTTGCCCTCGAAAGCGGCATTTAACATAATCATTCGATAGGCTGAGTAGTTGAGGTGGAAGCAGTCGCATAGGTTTTTTCTGTTTTTAAAGTGACGGGCCACTGGGCGAGTTGGCCATTTGTCAAGATTACAATGAATGTCAGGGTAGGTTACCAGCCAATGATATATTGCTTGTGACTGTTAGACGACTTTTGTTTTAGATGACTTCAGAAAGACGTCCAGGATGGCCAAAGATTTCTTTTGATTACGTGACGGACGGCAAACTACACCAACGACAGTTACGATACTGCGCTAAATACATATGATTTGGTATTCGGAAGGCGGTTGCACGCACGCTAAAGCCATTTTAAGACATACGAGTTTGTGGATTTCCACCGGAATGAATTTCTAATAACTAACATGTTTGAAATTCGCACACTTTTTGCTCATATAGAAATGTCCACAAGCATTTCGCCGGTAGTAATCAGAAGTACCTAAGATGCCTGCATCGAGTTGCAGACATCCTCTTGTGTCCTCATTCGTTCATTTAGGAGATTAACATGCTGGCTGTCTTTATAGCACGTTTTATGCCTCAAAATACTTAGAAGCTTTGCAAAAGGACTGGTAAAATTATGCTATTCTTATTATTAACGACCTACAGTAAGTTGGCCAAAAGAAATTCCGAAATGCCGTTTATTGTCCTAAAGATTAATCAAGCAGAGTCGTAAAACCAATCCTTTTGCAGCAAAATCCTATAATATTTTAGTTACCCCAGGACACTGACCTTCGAACAAACTTCTTTTTAGCTGCATCAAAAAACCATACTCTGTAAAAAATGGCTGCAAACTTAGCATGCATTTTTTTCATTGATTTCCTATGCCCTTAAAAATTCAATTGTATCTCATAGAAAACATGCATAAAATCATTCAGCATTCTGCTCATTCAGTAGGGAACTACGCTTTCTTCCAATTTTAAACTCCAAGGATAAGTTTATTTCGATTTTTTAAAACCTTTCCTAATCCCAAATAATTTTAAACCAAAGCGGCTGTTTCATTTGCATTCAGGGTTCCTAAACTACAAGCTGTATCATTTACGCTTACGAAAAACCATATATTTCTCCACAGTATAAATGGGAAACTATATAGTGTTCATAAAATTAAGCATTGGCTTTGAGCCACATTGTTAACCTTACAAGTATCTACCAGAACACACACGGGGAATGCTGGAGGCCCACTGACGAGCCGAAACACTCGTACTTACGCCATGCAGCGGCAAAACATCAAAGAAGCACGTGTGTGTAGGCTTTTTGCTAGTACTTTTGTTGTAAGAATGGAAATGTCTTACCCTACAGTATACTACTAGCAGCCTGTCGGCATTTAATGAATATTACGCGGCTATGCGCTGTGATTGATAGACATCGGCCCAAATATTCGTAAATGAAAACTTAAGTCTGAGCCTATAGGCCTTAAATATATTGATCTACTCCAAGTTCGTTGTTAATTTCTAAGGAAATGAAAAAGCTACCAAAACCAAAATCCTACTTGTTTGTCGATGGCTATGTTGCGGACGTTGGTCAATAACCGTGAATTCCTTCGATATAAAACTTGGGGATTCAGAAGAGTGAATACGACTCACAAATCAGTTATTTAGACAAAACGCTTATTACAAACACTTTCTCGTAACTGATAAACACAGACTGACTTAACTCCATTTCCAGTACCTTCTGGCATCCGTGGTTGCCAACCGGCTTAGCAACTCATTAACATTAGCATTCTGTTGCAATTCATATCGCTGATTCGTGCAAAACGCCGGAATATACTGAGGCAACTCATATATTTAAATTGGGACATTTTTTTTCAAGCATTATCAAAGCGCATGGAAAGCCAACTGCGTTGTGACATTCACTTTTAAGTGGCAAATATTCTCTGCCGGTGATTGGAAATATGCGCATCAAAAAATCAGCAGTTAGATGTGCTAAAACGGAGATTGGAACGCTATGATGATCCATTTGAATGTAAATTTAATTTTTACCACGTTATATTAGAAAGGGCACAGGAGACTTCAATTACCGTAATCAGGGAAATCATGGAGATGGCTACTGCAATACCATTTTTTTAATTATTTGAATAAAACAATTAGTTAGCTGACCCGGAGACCTGTGTCGCGTTGTCTGCTGCCTAAGCCCAAAATGAAAATCAGGAGAAAAAAAATCACTTATGAGATGCGGCTAATAGCTAATGGTATAGGTGAAGGAACAAAATAGACAGCTCAGGTTAGCAAAAGTAAGAGAACCGGGTCGGTAATCTGAGGAGAATGAATTGCTCACCGGATCGGGGGACTTTTCTGGCTGACGTTTCGAAGAGCTGGGGCTGCTCTCCATTGTCAAAGCGTCAAGTGAAAAAATCGATCAGCTTTTTTGAATAGACTGCCGCATTAGTTGGCCCTGGGCTGATCGATTTTTTTCTTCTCTCGCTGCCTTGGCCTACTGGCCGTCGCCTGTGAATGTTGGTGGCCTCCTGTAATACGTGTCGTCACCTCAATTGGGGTTGGTAGCGTTTGCGTTTCCCTTTTGGGTGAAGTGGTCGACAGGCCGTGTTTGCTCGGCATTCTTAGGCTTTGTGTGATTGTCTTGCCTTCGTCACGGTGTATGCAGTGACGTAGGACTTTATAGGCCGAAGGAAGGTCTAGATGCCTGTTGATGGAGTTGGCATCTGAGTACCAAGCCTCAAGTGTGAGACGCTCAGTCCTTGAGTTACCCCTGCCTAAGACGGCTGCTCCTTGAAAATCAAAACTGTGACCAGTTTCCCCGATGTGAGCCGCAAGCTGTGAGTTTGGGTCTAGTCTCCGTGTCGCCAGTTTGCAATTTCCGCCCGGTTTTCCCAACGTAGTTGCAGTCTCCATCCTTACAACGTATTTGATAGACAACTGCTGAGGTTTCAGTGGGTGGCAGTATGTCTTTGGGTTGCATCAAACAGCAACGAATTGTTGCTTGGGGTCGATGGGCAATACCTACCCTGGCGGGTTGTAGCAGTCTTTAAACCGCCTCGGAGGCTCCTTTTATGTAAGGAATAGCCCTCTAGACTTCGGGTGGTTTTTCTTGTGGCCGTCGTCTGTTCACTCGGCGCTTGCTTTGCTTGATGAAGTGGCTTGGGTATCCATTGGTTCGAAAGAGATCATGCAGATACTGTCGTTCAACTCTTTTGTCGGCTGGTGTGCTGCAGTGTGTTTCAACTCTTTGGAACAGAGTACGGACACAGCTGCGTTTGTGAGAGAGGGGGTGATTGCTGTTGAAGTGCAGTATTTGTCTTGTGTTTGTGGCTTTTATGAAAACGGTAGTTTGTAATTGTCCAGTTGCACTACGACGCACAAGGACATCGAGGAAGAAAAGTTGGTTGTTTGTTTCGGCTTCCATCGTGAATTGGATATTCTGGTCAACCGAGTTCAGTAATTCTTTAAGGTGCTCCACGTCAGATGATCTGACAATAGCGAAGGTGTCATCGACGTAACGAGCCCAAAACTTTGGTTGATACTTGGTGAACACCAAGTGTTCTATCCGTTGAAGAACCACTTCAGCCATCAGCCCTGATATGGGGGAGCCCATAGGGGTGCCTTTGATTTCTTCATGCATTTGTCCACCAAAGGTGAAATTTGTTTTTAGGCAATAGCGTAAGAGCTCCATGAGATGTTCAGTCTTCAGGGGATTGTCGCTCTCGTTGTAGCGATCAACCAGGAGTTGTCTCACAACGTCAATCGCTAGTTGTTGTGGAATGGAGGTAAAAAGTGAAACGACAGCAAACGATACCATGGATTCATCTGGCTCTAGTTTCAGATGTTTTAAACGTTGAAGGAACTGATTAACAGAGGCCACTGTTGTTGGCGATCCTTCTGCCAGGAACTTAAGACGAGCAAACACCCATGTTGCCAAACCGTATGTAGGAGTACCACGTAGGGAGACGATGGGTCTAAGAGGTATGTTAGCTTTGTATACCTTCAGAAGACCGTAAAACCGCGCAGTGGCAGAGTCAGAGGGTTTCATAAGAAACCAATCTTTAGCTGTGATTGCTCCATTCGTTCCGAGTTTTGCCAGGCTTTTGTTTATTTAAGTAGGCAGATTTTTCATCATCAGCCCAGGACCAACTAATGCGGCAGTCTATTTAATAATGCTGATCGATTTTTTTCACTTGACGCTTTGACAATGGAGAGCAGACACAGCTCTTCTAAACGTCAGCCAGAAAAGTCCTCCGACCCGGTGAGCAATTCATTCTCCTCAGATTACCGACCCGGATCTCTTACTTTTGCTAACCCAAGTGCCCATTATTACTGACACTCGCTCAGCCGATATGCGATTACACCGTTAACAGGACTGGTGTTTGATACACCTACAAATGACTGTACGTGCACAAGAATTCCGTAAGAATGATCAGCGAGTCATAAATACTGTAAGTTCTTCAGTTTGTGGCCGATGTTTTCCTCTTCAAACTTGAAAGAATGGCTGAATACCGTCGATGGAACCATATGCTAACAGCCAACGCCATCTACCGACAGATGATCCGCATTTAGTCCTTCACATTGTATGTCATCTTTCTTCTCTTGCGGTTTATTTGTTCAAACGTGAACTACGCCGGATCGCGGAAACGGTTTCGTGCCATCCTGTTACTCTGGTGTATTTTTGGCATCCTGTTGTTGCAAATGGGTTCCTTTGGTCATTGTAGCTTATAACTTAAACTGATGCTAGCAGACGCTGGACAGTTTTCGAGGCCTTCTTGACGGACAGGAGCGCTTGCCAAAAATTAGGTCCGGTACATATTGTAATTTCGAAAACCTGTCTTCTCGTTCATTACAATGCGTCTCAAAGCTAGAACGTGACTGCGAAAAACTTGCGGCCTGTTAATGTGGCTGTTAACGATCAGTTTCCTTGTAATCCATAGTCAGACACCGGGCAGATTTTTCACAATCCAAGATCAGATCACAATTTCATAGCTAAAAGGACATGCAGAACATAGGAATAAACGATAATACAATGTTTCACAAAATGGACAACAGGTTGTCAAAGCGAATTTTGCAGGATATACTGACCTTGTGCAGGAGCCATAGTCTTTCTATACCTGAAATTGTACGCATAATTATATTTTGCTAGTCAAAATCCCATCTTAGACATAAATAACTAACCCTAAGTAATCACCATTTTTGATACATGTTGCCTGCTGATATATATGTCGCCTGCTGATATATATGTATATATATATATATATATATATATATATATATATATATATAGTGTTAGGGGGCGCTCACCGATCATTCATACGGAACTCACTCGTTCCGTTGTGCCTTAAGAGCTCTCTCTCGAGCCCAACCAGCAGCCGCACAGCGGCGCATGATACATAGGCAGAATAACATTACCGGGCTTGGGTGTGGCTGGCTGACGACGGCTAATAAGCCAGAAATGGCCATTCCAGTCTCCCTTGTCTTTGTCGGTAATGTTATTCTGCCTATGTATCATGCGCCGCTGTGCGGCTGCTGGTTGGGCTCGAGAGAGAGCTCTTAAGGCACAACGGAACGAGTGAGTTCCGTATGAACGATCGGTGAGCGCCCCCTACCACTGTATATTCCCGATCGAAAAACCGACAAGGCAACGGGCTCGTGGCCCGGTGAGTAGAGGCGTTGACTTCTAAAAAACCAACAGGTCGCGAGTTCGAGGCTCGGGTGTTCCACACTTCGGGCTTGGGTATGGATGGCTGACGACGGCTAATAAGCCAGAAATGGCCATTCCAGTCTCCCTTGTCTTTGTCGGTAATGTTATTCTGCCTATATATATATATATATCTGCATGTGCACAATGATCCGTTGCTTTCCTGCAATGGATGCTTAAAAACTACGTTCAGCTGAAGGGCTTATGGCCCATCTGACTGATGCAAGTTTACGATTCTCATTCCAGGCGGGCCTCCAGTTTCAACGAACTGAAGGGATATGACGTAGGACTTGATCAGCACTCTTGATAGAGGTCGTAACATTGTTTTCCTTCCAGTATTATTCGGAGATGCCATACATAGTCTCCCTATGGAAAATACATAACATTTTTGGTGGCCAAACATTTAAATAAACTTGATGAAAGTAGAATTTACATGCTTTTAAAACAGACAGCACTTTCATTCCATTAAAGTATGTACTGCAGTCGCCATGACGGATTCCATTAGTCTAATTTCTTGATGATATGCTTTATTGGAGGGCACGCAGCTGGGTCATACAGTTGGTGACCTAACTGATGAAATAAGATGAGATATACCTGCCGGTATCAGTGTCGGTGTATTTCAGGGAAAGTAGGTGTGTCCCTTTGAAATATCTATTAGTTACATGCAGAAGAATCATATGGAGAAAATGTAAAGGGAATGACATGGAAGAAACATAAAGGGAATCATATAAACTGTGCAGATGAACATATAATTTCTTGTGTTAACAAAATTTAAAGACATATAAACTAGGTTTGTTGATTAAATGTAACAGACAGTTGGAACACAATTAAGATAAGGAAAAGGAGTAAATTTTTAATTGTACTGGCGGTGGCATCGCTATAACACTAAATTGTCAACGTTAGTATCAAGGTGGCTGTAGTTCAGCGCTATTGTGGTGCGCGCTCCAATTTTGATCTAGCCTCCGTTTAAAACTCTCCACGAATCCCGACATAACAACATCCTCAGGCAAAACATTCCAACCTGCAACCACTCTGTTTGAGAAGATGAACTTTCGTGTGTCTAGTTGGGCACCAGTCACACGTAGTTTGAGTGGATGGCCTCCCAGGTTAATCGTAGTCGTCAACTCGAAGAAGTCTTCAGAGACAGCAGTCCCGGCTGCGCACGGCGCCGACAGTTTGTATCAGGTCCCTACATAGATGTTTGTAAATCAAAGGAAAGAGGTCAAGATTAGCTAATCGTGTTGCGTAGGGTAGTGACAACTGTCCAGATACAAGTTTCGTCGCTCGACTTTGAACTTTTTCGAGTATGCCGAGGCCTTTAACGGTCTAGGGTCTCCATACTTGGACATCAAACTCCAGATGCGGGCGCACAAATGTTCGAAAGACCTTGGCAAAACACTCTTCATCAAAGGAAGGGAACGCCCGTTTGACGAGGTATGGAATGGACATCGGCGACTTGTCTACTTTCGAGCATTGCAGCGAAGGCTTAAAAGAGGTAACGATCCATACACCAAAGCCCTCCGGAGCGTCGACTTCTTGCAGGGATTTGTCAGTCAGACGGTAGACCGTGCGGTTATGAGGACTAGTTCCGCTGACGCGTTAAGCGATAGAAGCCAGTGTTTTGACCATTGCGGCCTAGATTTTACGAGGCGGCCTAGATTTGCCTGCAGTCGCGCCTCGACAACTTCGCTTCGCACGGTACTCCAGATCTCTGTGTCATCAGCAGACATTGCGGCATCTCAATCCAGTTCGTTTGCGCAGTCGTTGGCGTATACGAGGAATAGTGTAGTGCCAAGAACAGAGTCTTGGGAAACACCACTTCTAATGGCAACCTCGGCAGATTGCTGGTCACTGACGTGGACGGCTTAAGAAAGACCGAGTAAAAAGCTTCGAATCCACATCAGAGGCTCAACTCGCACTCCTAAAGCACTACGTTTTTATAGAAGGCGGTGGTGGGACACCCCGTCGAAGACCCTTTTGAAGTTGATATAGATGGCATGCACCATCTCTTCTCAATCAACAACCCGAGCTCAGTGTTCTAGACTGTAGAGCAAATTTTTCACACAGGATCTGCCTTTTTGGAATCGGAAAGCAGTTGGTTTTGTTCAAGGAACTGCACTAATCGTTGCCTTATTATTTTCTCCATAATCTTGCAGCAAATGAAGTTGAGACTGACAGGTCTGTAATTATTCACAGAGACCCGACTTCCGCCCTTGTAAAGTGGCGTAATCCACGCCGACGTCCGTTCGGGTGGCCGATATCCGGTCTCGAAGGATGTATGGAAAAGCATGGAGAGTGGTTTAGCCAACTCACTGGCGAATGCCTACAAAATCCTGCGGGAATCTCACAGGACCTAGTGATTTTGATTCTATTAACTTCATAAACTCCGCCAGAACTGAACTGTCTACATAATTATGGTGTCATCGAAGGGTTGAAGGGCCGAAGAGATGAATCTTGTTTCACTATAAAAGCAAACCAAAACATTCTGAAAGGTGATCAGCTTTCGCTCTGTCTTCAGTGAGATGTTCGCCTTCAGCAGTTTTTAGCAGTGATATTGGGTTCTCTTTCCGCGTGCACTGCTTCGTGTAGTCATTGAATAATTTAGGGTTCTTTGCGGCAAGGTTAAGCAGATCCCATTCGAATTCCGTTCTAATTTTGACGAAATAGTCCTTGAGTCGATTTCTTTGAATTTTGTACGCACATATAGATATGGCGCCCCTGCCAGAAAGCAACGTTTTCCACAGTATTCATTTCTTAATCACTCCATTCTTCAAGGCTTGCGTAAGTCATCGAGTTGTGCTAGTTTACCTCTTCCATGCAACCGGAAAGTGGTTTGCGATCAGCTTGTGCAGCATTTTTCGAAACCGTTACCAGTCTTCGAGTATGCTTCCAACAAATACGGACTTCCACTTAATGCGTGAAATGTCAGTCCTCATTTGGTCGAAATCCCCACAACGAAAGTTTATTCTAATTGTTGTGGGTGTCTCACGCGTGAAAAAAGCGAGCTATTCCATGATTGCTAATCATTTGCAAACTGGCTCTAATTCACAGACCCAGTTTCCATATTGATAAAAACACATTTAATGAAAGTAAAAACGCAAATGAAATTTTCAACATAACGTATCGTCCTTAGAAGTGCCAATCTATTCGGAAATGCAGGAAATCCGCACGTGTCAAAAATATTCGTAAGGGAGTACATTTCGGTTTGGACGTACTGATCATCTAACCATGTAAAACAACCAAGTAAAAATTGAGTAACATAGAATTATGTTCAGCAGTATCGTGCTTCTGGAGTTCCCATTTAGATGCGTATTAAGAACTACTTTAGTGTCAATATATTTTTATTGGAATCCCGTGTACTTTTTGCGATTCTACAGAGACTGAGATACGGTCTCGTGAACCAAATAGGAGTTCGCTTGGTTTTGCCGATTGTGATGTCAGAGGGATAACAGTTTCCGTAAGGTCATATGCCGCCAGGTCGGTTGGTGACTAATGGGTTAAATAGATTTGGCAAATGTAGTCGTAATAGAACCCTGCTTGAACCTGATGAAAACTTTTCTCCCGTGAAATTAATGCGCACTTTTTCTTTGTCCTGGATTGTGTTGACTTTCAGGTCAGCCTTGAAATATCACTAAATACTTCAGGATTTTTTATGTTTTAAGTCCGTTGTGCATAAAGCCGGGTAATATATTTATGCTTTATAAAGTAGTTATAAACTTAGCAAGTCAGATATGATGGCATCCATACCAACTGACCAGCATTAATTATATCATTTTCTGCCTAGTGTCCAAGTTGTTTTCTTGATAAAATTACCCTATACCTTTTTAGTCGTAGTGGCTACTTAAATTTAAGGCATCTTCCAGCCGTTCATGCATGCTGCAGTTATGAAGAACCGAAATTAATTGATTAAAACGTGGTCTTCGCAATCTATGATTATCAAGATAATCGAAAAAGACGGTTCTCGAAAAAGTCTGCCCGTTCTAAAATAAAGTTGGGGAGAGAATTTTGTGAACTCTTCGATTTTGCACCTTCCCAGTCAACAGGCAGTGATTCTACGCATATGGAAACCCGTTTGTTTTTATTTTTGTACTTACTGCGTTTTGGTTACTACATACTATAACCATAAGATGTTACAAACTATTGATTTGGCAACATACTATTTTGACAAATGGCTAATACGGTAACTACATATTATTTTAAGTGTTTATTAGTAAACCTTTAGTCGTCTCAATAGCACTTAAAAATATAATTTGATTGAAAGTGTCGTTAGCGTTCTTGACGACTCTTCTAAGACTTTATGCGTTTTTAAGATCGGCGGGTATACTGGGGTAATCGATTGACCTGTGATTCTGTTACATTTAGCTGCGCGGTTTAAAAGGTGGACTGCCCGAACAAGAATGAATTTCGGTTTTAAATTAACCTGATTTTATTCATCAACTCTTACTTAATTCACACAAGTCAACATTCAGTATGACAGAGGTCGTTTGGCTAACTGTTTCCAATTTATGCTAATGTCCTCCGTTGAGAAAGCCCGTGTTAGCAGGTGGCTGCGTTTTTGGTATATGTTAGCAGGAAAAATGACTAAATGTGACGGTGAGTTAATTCCCCTTCAAATATGCATGCTTCTAATTACTGGTACATAGAGGCACATTTTGCGTACAACCAGGCAATTAGGAAGCGCGATGAGATCATTAGCACAAGTCGAAGTTTCTAATGTGCCCTGGACAGGTCACATTTATTTTGGTAATCACGCAGTAAGTGTAACTATTCAGTGTGCATACTAGATACAGATATGCTCTGGCGTTTAACAGACATGTACAATGAAAGGAAACATGTGATAACGCTCATTTGTAACCTTTGCCATTTCCAGTTTTTATAGCTCATACTGAAATCCACTTGGAAACGGGCTTTTCAGGGTTAGTCTAACCATAGCGGATATGGTTAAACGACCAGACAAACACGTCTGAAATACGCCTAAGCATTTTGTCCGTCTCTCCCAAGTCTTTAGGTGGGTCGATAATAGGATAAACAGGGAAGCTAAATATTCCTGAGCATACTTTATCATTGTTTTTATGATCACACTGTTTCCTTGTCTACATTATTTCGTAAACTGTAAAAATATTTGGTATCTGTAGTCTTTGTAGGAACATGAAGATGAAAGTATTTAAGCTTTTTTTCATTTATCTCAAGTTTGTCGATCGGCGACTACTGGGACTTACAAAAATTAAGGCCATTTTAATGTGTTTCGGCGAAAGATTCGCAAGGTTTCCGGCGGAATAAATTATTTATCGCAAGGGATTATTGAGTTGACATTGAGTCAAAGGCAGTAGTTCCCAAAGATCGGCCAGATTTATCTTTCAGACAAGAAGGAAACGCAAGAGATTTAGATTCCTTGGAATTGGCGACGAAATATGTTTTCACAATTGCCATTAGTGCTTCAAAATCAGTCGCTTTTAAATTTGTGTCTTAAATAACAGAAAGTTGGAAATTAATTTTCTATAAAATAAAGTTAGAAATGAGATGACTTTTTTCCGTTTTTTTCTAAATTGTTCAACGACTTTCAAATTTATACATGCCATCGGCGTTTAAAGAAGTTTACATATTTCCCTTTGTTTATTGTTAACGAAATCAAACTGGGTGTGTGCACTCGTTCTATACATTGTACCGCTGGCTGTAGGATTCTGAAAAAAATGTCTTGTTCTTTTGAAAATCCGAGAAATATCCTTATATTACAAAGCCCAATGAACCGATATAGTGCAAGACTTAAGAAAATAGTAGGATCATACCAGGAGCATGCATATTTTCTATACACATTCAATTGAAAATAAACACAGGAGGCTTACAAAAAGAAAATTAAACGCTAAAATATTAAAGTTATATTGACTGTAGTAGTTCAAGTTTCATCATTCCAAGTACTGCCGTTTACTACCTAGAATTTGCATCCTACCAGCCGATGGTTGTAAAAATGCCGGAAACGGATATTTATGCCTCTCGACCTTCCTAGTGATTACCTACAGTTACTATTTATACAGCTTCTATCCTGAGTCCAAAAATGGAGCCCACGAAAAAATAAATTGTTTCAAGACCTTTACAATTCCGATATAATCGACTGCCTTCAGTTTACCGAGATTATGTGACGCAGCCTGCCCCACTGGGCTGTATCAGTTGCTTAGGCCAGAGAGTTAAACTGTATTTGTGCGGTTTAATCTCGGAGACTCCTTCCGGTTTCTCTCCACGCAGTTTCCACCAGACTCTTATTTGACTCTAATGCCGACGCCTGTAGGCTTAACCTGTTCGTAAGAAACATAATCTGACGGGCATAGCATTATGGTACATCAGCGTATGAGGCTAGTTAGACTGCGCATTTTATAGAAAAGCAAGTCCCAAAGTATTTCACATACCTCAGATATATGCTATTTACAGTGGGTTTAATGTGTCCCACAGACGATAGAAGGGTGAACAGAGAACAACTGGAAGACTGGTGATTTCAGTATCACATATTCCTCCTACAATGATATGGCTGGAGGCGTTATCTTAATAAATCACTGAGACATTGGAAGACTTATGAAACCTCGGTGGATACTTCGTTATATGCACTCTTTGGTAAATCTAATGTCCCCGTACCCGGGAACTCGCAATTAAATGTGGCATGGTGCTATTTCCATTAAAGGCATAGCAAGAAAAAATCCCTGACATAATAAGTTGCATGGCAACTTAGTCTTCGCTTATAGTTAGCCGATATTTTTATTTTATTGAACGGACATGGTGTTAATACAAGAGCCATCTTGATGGAAATTTGAATCCGTGAGTATTTTAATCATACTAAAGTGCAGTCTCGCATGTCTACGTTTACCAATTGAGTCAAAAGGTGCCGAATTTTCTTTTAAACTATATGTTATGCTGAGTAAGGGAGAGCTAACATAGACTATTTTTCTTCGACTAAACAACGTCTTTTATTAAAAAACGTGGGCCACGATCCTGACACGTGCTTAAACGTGCAAGTACAGGTGCTTATCTTGCTTAAGACATTCAGTTACAACATAACCGACCTTTTAAAGTTATGCTTTTTGAAGTTACTAGACAAATATTTTACTTTGTATTAATCGGATTATTTATCTTTTACTTACTAGGTGGATGAATATGGCATCACGCCCAACTTTTAATATTCAGAAGCATTTTGCAAAAGGTGCAAATCTACGGGGCGTTTGCTATTCAATATTAATAAAAAGGTCTCATTAGAACGACCTCTTGATCTGGTTCGGAGCTCCAGGTTTATCATTGGTATCATGGTTGTTTGTGTTTGCATCGACTCTGTGAAATGAACTTAGATACCCATGGTGTTGGATCTGGGGCATATTTTTGGACCAATATTCCACCTTTTGATACAGATAATTTTGTCTCTTAATAGAAGCAGTAACAAGATTAACTATTTACAAATATACTTTTATTTTGTAAACCTTTACGGACTGGTAGGCTAAAATTTACGGGGCTTGACACAGCTGGATCGAATTTCGTTTGCCTAAAAGCGGTAGAGACTGGAATTGCATGCCTTAACTGTACGACTTTGCATCACTATATTGACTTCTAGTCTATAAACACAGTGTCCGTTAGGCATTCATACTGGTTGAGAATCGGGTTTATCTTCAAATATTCCCACTTTTTCCTTCAATTGGTTAAAAACGCCAAACATACAAATAGCGTTTGAGGTACATTTCTGGTAAATAAGAGGGATAAAGTTAGTCGATTTAACGCGACAAAAAGACCGGACGTGTGCAGCGTCCTAGAGGAAGACAAAAACAAATGCATCTATGAGTATGAGCATGACGGCGCATGTTTAATAACTTGTTGAACTCATGTAATAGTAGTAATGAATTGATAGCCATTAATTAATCAGTGGACGTGCAAAAACAGTGTTTACTCTGTAAGAAATATTTTAAAAGAAATAATAAATTCAGTGGTCTTTCTTAACTGGTGGCGACGAATATGATAGGACAGTTATTTTGTTGTCCCTGGCTTTGTTATTTAAATGTCTACTTCAGTATCGACCGTCTGATGAGCAAAAATTTCAATTTCTTAAACCCGTGTGTTCACGCTTGTCCTTTGCCTTCTGCACGTATACTTTGTCTTTGCGGGGCTCATACACTACTTGAATCCTCCCTGTGTTCTTTAACGCTGTCCTCTGCAACTCCGTGCTATCGACTGGCGCAAAGTACTACATTTGGGGCTGAAAGAACAAATCAAATTGCTCTCCACATAATTTTTTTTATCATCGAAAATGGTCCATTAACGGCAGACGGTCTGCATGAAAAACGTATTGCTAATTTGGACCCGAAACACGAGACTGGCGCTAAAAGCGCAAATGCGTCCACATCAATCGACCCGATGATAGTGGTGCAATTAAGCATACTTTGCGTGAAACAAATACGCCAATATCTTTTTTGAACGATATTGGATGATGGTAAAACTTGGCCAGAACAAACCAGTTTTAGGCGGACTTTGTGAAACAAAACTTAGGCAGGTAACTGTACACGCGCCTTATTTTTCTGATATGCAGAGGGCTTAATGAGACATCTAAGTTAATTCGCCAAACGTGTGCAAATGTCCGTAGCCCATGCGTGCGGCGGCATTTTGTGTGATTTTCGTCTTTTTGAGAACAAGTCGAGCAATGAGTAAATATGTGGCCTGGCGTTACGTGTATTTTAATAAGACCCAGTTGAAAGTAATCGAATGGCCTCTGGCAAAGTTAATAAAGGAGAAAACATTGAACATGCTAACCGCAAACTTTGGCTATCAAGCAGGATGCGGAAAAATGCACCAACACCCTTACAATATGCAGCTGACGGTTTGAACCCAGCCATTGTTCCAACCGGCAAGAAATCAAATAAAATATCGGAGTTAAGGAGACAAGCTTTCTTGCCTAGTATTTCAGAATGATAAGGAATGATTTGCGTTAAGAGGGAACTTAAAAAATACCGATTCTGACAAGGACATGCTTGCGGACAAAAGCAAACATGCGAGTTCCAGTAGGCAGTTCAGAAGACGAAGATTAGATCGATAGAAGAAGAGAAAGTATTTGCCCAACTATTCAAATTCTCACTCGAACCCATTAACAGAGACAGCCACAAATAAGGCAAAGACATGTTAAGCTATAGTTGGTCGTGGCACCTCGTGCCATAATAGAAACAGACGGTTCACGAAATGAACAATGGGGGTACCTTATCCAGCACGTGAAGTACGCATGATTCGTCAACACAAAAATCGTGAAAATCATGCGAATACCTAAGGCACCTTTATGCAATCGTAGACATACGCGCAATATTATACCTTGTTCGAGATTTGGGTTTCATTGAAAATTTAATAGCTTTAAAGTGACGCTAAATTGCGCAGGCAAAAATACACCACAAATGCGGACAGCGTGTTGATGATTAAACATACTACTTGGCAGAACTTATTTGCGAACCAATTTTCGCCACTGCGTTTAATCTCAGGCATAGTATGTTTTTGGATGGATTACAGTTATATTTAGGCTCTATTTTACACGAAGCACTGGCAGTGGTTTTGTTGACTTTTTTACAAATACTTGTGAAAAGGGCGAAAAGAAACCCTAATTGAAGCGGGGAAATTGCGGCCACATGCTTAGATCTAATCGTAAACTTACAACGGCAAACAAGGTTTCTTTTAATTAACTGTCCTTTACTATTGTTTTTTGGGAGAATTATGATCGCTACACATCCTTCATAGCTGAATTTCTGCCATTTCCGTTCTTCTTTTCATCAGCAAATGCCTACTGTGCCTCCTTAAAATGTGCATCTAATGAGTCATGCACTTGGGATCGGACAAGCCATCGTTTTCGGTATGTAGATGACTTGCACATGTTACGTTATTCATTATGTGTGAGAATAATTTTCTGTTGTTTATACATTTTGTCTCCAACGATCAAATAGTTGCCAGTTGACTGTTTGATAGCCATGTGTAAACGCTATTTGCACGTTTTGCCATAGTAAAATATCCACCTTCTACAGGGTTGAATAACCTACCGCATAATCATATAACCTGGAGACATATTCATGAGAGGAATTTTGGTGCGTATTCGTCAGGAAAACGTCCCAATTTGAAATCATCTAAATTCATAAATATCAATTAAGGTGTTTTCATAAAAATATACACTATTTACTAAGGCCAGTGGCCTAAAACGGCGGAAAGAAATTTTAGAACTTAATAATCCTGCCCCTTTGTTTTGCTTCTCAGATGTGTCTGTGGTTAGCCGTCACAAACCATCGATTGCACAATCCAAAAAGGAAATCCGAGTCACCCCTAGCCACTGAATATTTATGAGTAAGCGAGGCATTGTTCTGAGTCAGGCGAGAGATTTTGCCTTATCGTCAATAGATGCTGACGTCTTTGTCATCCGTAATTTCGACGACCGCATAGTGAACATTGAAACAGTTTCGATCACATTTCTGCCATAAGGAATAAGACTAGATAGGTAGATCGGCTTTTTGGGCAGAACTTCTGTTCGGGCTGTTGTGGAACACTCCGATTTGACCCTCGCATATGTCAAATAAAGCAGCTTTTTCCCTAGTTGTCCTGTCCCATTAATACTGCTGGCACTGTCATATAATGCATCGCCTTAGCAGTCTAAATTACCTGACCGATCTCATGCAATGTTGACTGAAATTCTGAAATGCGTTTTCGCTTAGGAAGTGTTACTTAAGCGCGGTTAGAATATCGATTATTTTGCGGCATAGGCCTATGATATTTCGGACTTAAGCGGATGTCAGCACTTGAAAGCCAGCTTTTCAGTCTCCTCTAGAAAACAGTACTTGAAAAAAGTGGCTACTTATGTAGCATTCATTTTTCTACTGATTTTCGATGGGCTTGCAAATTTAAACATATCTCAGATAAACCACGGACAGCAATGTGCTCTCTTTCAATTGTTTGATAGACAGCTATGTCACCTTCGTAGTTTCTATTTGAAGACGGAGAGTACATAGGCTTTAAAAAATTTCAACTCTGAGATTTTTTAAAGATCGCTTTATGCCAATTTATATAGCGACGTGCATGTCCGTCTACCACTGCTTCTCATAAAATGTACAAAATAGCGCTCATTCACTGCAAAATTTTATGAACTGTTTATGATATCGTTTTAAAGGCAAATAAATATATGTGATTTTCTTTATGCCGAACGCATGCAACGTGTAGGCTGGAAGCACTAAGTGCTAAGGTAGCGACTGGTTAGTCTCCAAATTATTCGGGAATTATAAAATGTTTAAAACCTAATTGTAATTATTCTTTGAGTAGAAAATATTAAGATGACATAGTTCTCTATTAAACTACTGAAGGCAAGCACATGCTTTTCCTTGGTTTCCATAAATTACGTATGAATATGCAAGTGCATCGAAAAACAGTATAAACATCCATGCTCCTTAAAAAATCACGTTTCTACGGGATCTTGCAAAGCCGTGTATTCAAAGGCTGACATCTTGCCACGTTCAAAATATTAAAGGACTATGCCTCAAAAAATGGGTATTACACCGGCGCTTAAGTTCTCACTTCTAAGCAAAAATGCATTTCGTGGCTTCAGTCAACATTTCATGAGATCGGTCATTCACTGTATGTGATGCCGACTTAGCTGCAGAAGCGAGCGCGACAGTGGAATATCAGCTCTGAGTCACTGTTATCGCATTAGTTAGGGAATACTGGTTTGGCCCCCAACACAGGGCGTTTATGCACCCAAAGTTTCTTCTGCGACTGATTGTCAAGCTTTCAGTCCTGAATAATAATATTTTTTGTCTATCTTATTAACATGTATTGCGCGCTTTAGTGTTTACGAATCACGGGTACTGATTTGTGTAAAACATTAGATATAATAAGCATAATGTGAAGCAATCCTTAATCATTGAGTAAGGCTTTTGTTATTATGCGACGCTGACGGTCAGCCTGCGAGTAGTATTCATGCTTGTCTTACGCATTTAAAACCCCGAGTAAGCAATGGGGGGATTTCTCATATTTTAAGTCATCCAAACGTGCCTTGCATTTAAATTTATTGGCGATGTTTAAACGTTAGTGACCATAGTACGGGTTTGGAAGTTGGTCAATGTTTACCACATGCCTTAACATTGAAGAGTTTTCCTCACCTAAAAATTTGGTATTTCAATAAAAACTAGGGTGCATCGTCAGAACCAGGCATTTTGTATGTTGTGCTTATGTGGCAGTCGTAAACAATATAGGTTAGGTACCCTGATTCCACCGGTTTGTGCAAAAGGAGTTCAGCACTTAGCCAAACTAGATATTCTTTCGTTAAAAGTTTAAAACATTTTATACGCATACATATGTTTGCTTTATCACTAAATTATTCCATTTTTGGCGGTCATTAAGTCGATCTCTTTTGCAAGCTTCGACAGCTTTATAAATACATAGAAATTCGGACTATTGTACTTTAATAAATGCGCTATACTGTGATCTAAACGACAAAGTTGTTCGCTTGTTGTCGAAGGTTTATCCCACTTACACAGCGGCCTCCATTTGATGGAAATTGACCTTCCGTGGAAAACTGTCTTTGTGTCACAATAGTCCCAAGGTGCCAAAACTTACAAGTAAACCCTAACGAAATCCAAGTCGGCGAATGAGCGCTTTCTAATATTCATCCTTAGGCATGTACGAACCTCCAAAGGCAACTACGTGTCTGTATGACCTCAAACCTCTAGTTTTTGACGCTTTGCGCTAATTAATATCACTGCATACAACACAGGATAGATCAATGAAAACGTACGTCCGCCGAATGTTTGCGTGGATATCGTTGCAGGACTTGGCCAAACTCTAACCTATCAACTATGATTTCTAGTTCATTTTATAAAGGAAACCTCCATCATTGGTAGTTAATGAACAAACATCCATTCACCGATTCAACAGAGTAAGCGTGGTTTTTTCGTTGCCATACAAGATGGGCTCAGTCACTTTTTCTATCAAGCTGACACGGCTTTCCCGTGTGGAGTCATTACATAACTTATCTACATGACAGCGCCTTAACAACTACAGTGTCTTTTGCTGCCTATTATTCGACGCTTCCACTGGCCACACACACATACACAAGCACACACACCTTTTGACTCCTGCACAGCGTTTGTATACAGACAATAGCATCTTGGTTAGGGGGGAGAGGGAACACTATGAAGAACAGCTGTTGAAATTCCCCAGCAGCGTGTTCGCCCATGTTTGGCTAGTCTCGGTGACTGAGAAACACGATCGGAGTCAGCTTCATGCGTCTTGTGGCAGAGCAGCCCAGGGGCGAGGAGGAGCAGGAGCAGGAGGAGGAGGAGGAATAGGAGGAGGAGGAGGATATAGCATAAGGAGAAAGAAGAAGAAGAACGGAAGAGCTGGTAGTAACTTGACCGGTCAAGTTCGCGTGCCAAGGCCACGACAGAGGAACGGGTGGGTTTTATGGTTATTCGCATTTGGCGTGACAGTTTTCGCCGCCGCAGCCGCTGTTAAAACATTTCGGAGGACCAGAGAAAGGGGGTGTGAGCACTCCATCGAAAAAGCCGATGATATGGAGTCCTCAACAGTCGGAATTTAGAGAAACTCCCACTTTCACGAGATCATGGGTTTTTGAAAGAAAGCGTCTTAAACCTCTCGCATTCTTGTTGTGTGGGCAAAGAATCGGGCGTTAAACCAGGTGCTGAATTCGGCCGCACATTTCAGCTTCCCTGATTTAGTGATGTCAAAATTTTAAAATCCCTAGAGGCTAACGCAGCGTTTGGTAAAGTACAATCGACAAAAAGAGATCAGGCGTAAAATTGACTCTTTTCAAATTTTCTGCGGAATTTCGATTTTTCAGGGCTTTAGTGAAGTTGATGATCGGTAACTCCATAATACCGGTTAATTCCGAAGGCAACCAGTATGCCGTTGTTAATGAAATAACACTCTTCCTTTTTAAAAATGGCGCCCATTAATAAGGTTACATGACATTCTCGGGGCGGTAGCTCAATATTCGCTTAACACTCAATGAGCAAATACACTCAGCGTATGTTCCAGACAATCGAGATCCTGGATTAAGTACGACCATCTGATGACGACTGCCTGGCAAAAGTGGCCATTCTGGTTCCTCTTATCTTTGTCGGTACTCCTTCTCTTGCGTTTAATTTCCCTCAAAAAATGTGTTAGTCCTCAAATTTCTGTTTATGATTGCCGCATGGCAATGCCATTTAAGAAGATACGGTAGATAAAAGAGCCCAACAACCTAGAGACCGTTGTTATTAACAGGTAACTTGTTGTAAATCATGAGTAAACTAATTAGCATTTATTTCATTTCTTTTACCTTCTGGTCACCCACGTTACACAGCCACCAACCAGAATTTAAACGGCCACATTGTTGACCTTGTTCAGTTGTTAAACTCCTCTGGCCTTTATTTGATCCTCTAGCTAAAACCTCAGAGGTTAGGGTGGGATTCGGACTCACAACAGCGAGAGCAAATTTTAAACGCAGTCAGCGTCCTCACCATGTGAGCTAGAAGATCTTACGTGGAACCCACACAGGATTAAGTGTTTTCATAAAGTAACAGGCTAGTTTGTGATTTATAAAACGCAATAGAATTGGCAGGTGCAATCGCAAATATACCATTCTGTGAATATAAAAAGGTCCTTTCATGAAAACCGTCTGCAATTTTTTAGTGTTGGAGCACGGAATGTTTCCGATCACCCTTCGAATATCTGTGAATATTTCACATTTTGCAGTGCCTGCTGTTGATTGTACACAAAATTAAATTCTGTGCTGTGTTTTTATTGAAACCCTCCAAGTAGCATTTTTTGAAATCAGTTACTAAACTGTCGAGCTCTTAGGCAGTTTTTCTAAGTCAAATGATAGTTTGGGCCGTGTGCGTATGCCCATCCAAAGTAGTAAACATCATCTCTGAAAAGCGTGCATTTACGATCAAAGTTGAGGACAATCTCGCTCTAGATCATTTGAACAACTTTAATAAGTCCCCTCTGTAAACAGGGTTTAAGTGGCTACTAAGATATTGGTTAGATAGCTAGCTTTCCGCCTGTTCCGTTTCTAAATCACACATTAATAACCACTTTATGCAAAAATATTTTGACACAGTCCCAAACGGTAACATAGCCCCTTGTTGGAGAGCTTGTTCACGGCAAGTTATTAGGCATTCAAAAACAACAGAAAAAAGTTGGTGCGCTTAAATGTAGCACTGCTTTTAAATGCTATTACTGCCTTAAGGGGTCATTAAATTACATAGATTAGTAAAGCTGGTCTTTGAACTACACAATGCCGGTTTTTCATACCTACTTTGCTCAGTTTCACTCTGTTTTATCTGATTTACTTGGGAAAAGTGCGATTTAAAGTGCGGCAAGTTTAGTTTTGTAAATCTGTTGAGTTTATCTTACCCTCCTCCCATTAAAAGACACGCCTTGATGTGCAAAATTAGCTTGAGACTGCTTTTGTCAGAAGACGTCCAAATGTTTATCCGTTTAGGAGAGAAGATTATTGATAAGCATATTTTGTGCAAGAAGGACATTTTTGCTAACAGCATAGGCGAATAAATAATATTTACAGCACATTATGCGTCCGAAATCGTTCATCCCAATTCCCTTTATAACGTTTCACGAGTTAGGTCATATACTGTAAATACTATGGCTTAAACTTAAGTGATGTTTGGGATATGTTTTGCATACCCATTAACATCGCCTTTGGATGAAATGAACTATGTTATGAAAAGCTCTTCAAAGACAGCCAAAAGAGTCATAGAACTTTCCGTTCCACAGCTTCCGTTTGACGAGGCCGGCATCGGTGGATTAGCCATGACCTTTATATCCAAAATACATATGCAACTAGATAGACATGGGGGACACAGTTCTTCCTACTTCTCCGCCGCATTTAAATTCCAAATGAACTTTGATTTATTTGATTATTAAAATCTTTACTATCAGGGTTTTTTCAAGTTTTAAACGACTACTATTTAAAACATGTAAAGCACATCGCACAACCAGTTACTAATACAAGTTAAGGCAATATATTTCGCTGAATGAAAAGGACGGTGGACAGTGCCACGCTTGGAATGGATACGGGACTTCTATAAGTAGTCATTTCTGTCATTTTGGATAGCTTTTCCATGCAACTGTCTCAATTTGGCCTATTTCTGGTAGAACACCCGGAATGCGACGCCAGAGCTATTATCTTTCGAGCATTTTCTATTTAAAAAATAAATTGCATCAATGCCTGTAAACTGAATCATCGTAAAATTACTTTCGCTGCAATTTTAATTAGGTTTCTTTGAGGAAGGACTTTATCAATGTCTCTTTTATTACGCAGGTGTAGTCGCTTGCGGCAGTCAAGTTCATTTGAGCAGATGCTCCGCATACAGGTGTGGTGTTTTAAATTGCGAGTTCACCACAAGAAAGCACAAATATTATTTTTAATACAGTCAGGCTGCAAATGCACAGTTTCTTATACGGGAAGTTGTTTTAAATTACTTTGATATTGTAATCGCCTCCAGCTTTTCCGCACCCTTTTGCAGAGAACGCAACCATCATTATAATTTCCTTGAACCAACAACATGTAATGAATCCCTTGGGGGTATCATCTCAGCGTCACTTGCTATTTACTTCTGACCGGCTGTCGTGCGGAAATATGTTTACTTTAGCTTATTCTCTGAAATCGCATTCCTTAATTTACTTATCATTTAAGTAATGAGTATTTGAATCATTCTGAAGTATCTTACTGTGAGACTGTCTGATCATTTAACACAGGCTTAGCTGCTGCTCTGTGACCAATTAGCCCTTTTTGCATCCCTTCCACACTTTAAATATATGCCATGCGTATGTACTAGGTAGGTCAGAAACCGTTGAGTATAGCGAATAACACCATGACTGCACTGGCGGTTGAATATAAGATTAAGGTTTCAACTCAGAATCTGGGTGGCATAAAGTCGTGACCAGAGATTAAATGCAACGACTTATGGCTGGGTAAATATATCATTTGAATCAGATGAAGTTTGCTCAAAAGGACAAAATATATTTTCGGTGTCTTTCAAAAAATGGCATTGAAGCCGCAAATTTTTATAAAATTTATGGTTATGCTCACAGGCAGCCAAAGATTTCACTCAGGCTGCTAAAACTGTCTTCGCTATTAGAGTAGGTACTTAAGTGTCAAACATCTTTCACCCCCCATTTCAGCTGCGTGTCCACTAATCCCGACTCCTCCCGTAAAGTGGGCTTTCGGCGCCAAAGACCCATCCCACCCGACGTCGACCTACACGACTTTAACGGTTCACCTCATTTTTACTCTGTGCAGTCGGCGGGACATGAAGAAACAAGGGAAGACTCCTCCTTTGCAAGCATTCCTCCACAAGCAGTGGATTACGACAAAACTACGCCCTTTCCCAACGAATGTGCGGAGTCAGCTGAGGGTCAGTTGTAGATTTTGAAAGACCTTGCAGTCAAATATACTATAAATTATTTCGTCGGATTTTTCAAATTATAGTTCGAAGTCTGCATATCCAGTTTTTTGTGACTGAATGAAGTCACTGATGCGTTAGACAGGTGTTGCTGGTCAACGGAACTTTGCTTACACTTTGAAGGAAGCCACGGGATTTTTAAACCCCAAAGAGGTTCCATTCACCCAACTGGATGTGCTGGTTTTTTAACCCGTCGGGGACTTTCGATATATCTTCGGATTTCGAGTCCGTAGCCTGTACATCAAGGAATTGCATACATATACGCAGGGTAAAAAAACAGTAGTGGCGTATTACCAACGATAAGCTGGGAACCTAGAGTGACTTCTGTCTGTATGTTTCACAACAAGCCCATGTTAATGCGGCCTAATGTATGTAACAGGATTCATTTTTTTACCAATCCAGTTGGTTTACTGCTAAATCCAGCGTTTTCATATGCTGTTCCTCGAGCCTTACAGTATTCATAAACCTGAGTATTATGTTTTTAGGGACCTTCTGGTATAATTCCGCGGTAACGAGATATGTATGAAAATGTATGTATGGAAATTTCCGATTATGACAGAGGAAGTTGAAGTGTTCATTCCTCATTGAGCCGTCATCCATAGTCCTCCGGAATCAGTTAGGCGTTGGTATTTATCCCCCACCTGTTGCTGTTTATCTAACGAAATGCGTGATGAGGTGAGTTATGAACTTATGATCTGTTGGTAGATATCTGTAATGACCCAAAAACTGCCTACAAACCTAACGTTTCAGGTAGCAGATGCTGACGCCGAGCTTTAACAGTTGTGTCAAAATAAATTATTTGAAGGCCGTCAAGACACCTAGCTAGCTTATATATTTTAGTGCAGCAAAACGCGAAATTGCAAAAGGGGCAGCACCATGTGATTTATTACCAGAAAACTAGCAAACTCATACAGGACTTCGAAGCGTTCATTAAAGTAGAATTATTTGGGGTCGAAAGAGGTGCTTTAGTTAAACACACCAAACAGACCGATGATTCACATGATTTACCTACAGCTAGTGAATGCAGTTGAATTTAGATAAGTTTGGCCTGCACTCAAAGCAGATCTTTATGAAACACAGGATGTTATTTAAGCAGAGAGTGGATTTCGGGATTTCGCAGGTAACATGCGAGGAAAGAGGATAAGATTGACTTTGACAGGTTCTGAAAATAAAAAGGACAACATTTTTTACTAAAACGATCAAAGAATGTCATCACATCAATATAGTTTTCATGATTAATTACATCTTTCTCTTTAAAAAAAAGGAAGGACCTCTAACCTGATCTTAAACGCTAAGGAACGCTTGGGTCAGAAGCGTTCATTTTCTGGGGATTTATGTCGTAGTTAGTGATTTACATACAAGTGCTGTTCTCAGTTATATAATTGTATGCGACAGTGGCTACGCCCCGGTAGTTCAACCTCCATATAATGCTATCATTTTAATTTTAAATTATCTTTACGAGCTCAGAGTCGATGATAAGGACATCTGTATCGGAAATATAACGCTAAACATATCTCTCTTATGCCTCATTGGAGTATCTGTTTGCAATTTGCAACGGAAATTGTCTTAGCGGATACCAGAGTGAGAAAACTAGACTTGCCAGTAAGTCGTCAATCCCCCCCCCCTAACTTGCATCGTGTGGCATAAAGCCACATATGGGTTCATAGGATACACCTACCCGAGAAGCCTTTTGTACTTACTGTCCTATATGTGTGCATCTATTGGGGAAGCATTATCGAAAATTTGAGAATAAGGTCTAAAACGACCATTTTTGGCTTATTAGTCGTCGTCAGTCAAACATACATTATCAGAGTCTAGCGAGGCTTGTTATTTCTACCCTACAGTATTCGGTCATTGTACTTTTTTTCAATGTAACCTTCAACAAGTTGCTTATTGGATGGTTGTCGTGGAGTTGTGTAAGTCTGCCTGGCGACGGCTAATAAGCCAGAAATGGCCATCCCAGTCTGTCTTTCTTTTGTCGATGTTTACTATGCATAATTACTGGCGTCCATTCAACTCCCTGTGAGGACTCTATCCTAAAACGCGACGGAAAGGACGTAATTAGTGAACGTCCTTCCACCATGGTTAATATACTCTATTGTCACTGGCTGGACAATGAGTCCGTAGTTCAATGGTAGAGCGCTGGACATAAAATTTCCCATGACCAAAGGATGCAGAATCGAAACTCGGGTCCTATGAGATCTGAACATCGTTTAGGCTGGCTAGGCACGGATAATATGCCAAAAATGGTCATTTCAGGCTAATTTGACTGTGTCGATCTACTTTCTAGTATGTATATTAGAATAAAATGTGCGGCGAAATTCTCGACCAAAAATCTGGTCAATATACGTAGATGACAAATGTGTCACCATGAAAACCGGTGAGGTGCACAGTTCTGGAGCATAAAAAGACTTATTGACGGCCGTCTTTCAACAAGCGTTCAGCGAAATGTCTCCAATGTCGATACTAACCTTATGTTAAATAAGTTGTGCTTGACCTCCTTCACTGTATTTATCGCCAGAGAAGTATCGACAATTTACATAGGAAAGGGGGAACTGACTTGCATCAGGTTCCCACCTATGTGCCCTAAGCAACCGGGTCAGCGCTTACTAACAACGGCAGAGGCAACTGCCACCAGGCCACGGAGACCGGCGCTGCGCGCGCAGTAGAACCGCTTTCAGGCTCCGCGTCTTCCGTGAGCCAGGATCGATTAGCTGCATGCGAGTCTGCGCACGCCCCCCTTCCCTCATCCCCTCAATCTAACCCTAACTGTGACTGACTGTCTCCTTCTCCCCTCCCCCCACTATTTACATACCTCGTCCGTACGAAAGGACGGGTCGTAATCGATTGCACTTATCACTTACGCGTTCAGTTTTTACCTCATTCGCATATAACTATACAGGCCCGATGAGAATTTATCGAATGCACACGTATGCCCGCCAAATGCTCCTCTAAATTACTTGCATCCGTTTTCCCATCTCAACGGATACCCGGTCAGCTTTGTGCAAAACTGTATCAGACGCCAGAGACAACCACCAATCATTTGCTCTAAAGGGGACTGACTGTCATATCTGTCGAGAATTTCCGACAATCAAATCGGATTGACACCTCTATCGTGCACAAGTCAGTGGCTTTCATGAGATCCGTTTTAGAACGAGTAAAAGGTCTCATGCTCATGGAGTACCAAACGAAGGTCATTCACAGAACCCCGAGTGCTAACTACTCTTGAGTTTATATTGGCCATACCGAAAACGATTTGGGACCGGCATTAACGAACCCAAGCTTGTTATCACCTGACGGGATCCCTTATCACACGCGTTTGTGCACGTCCGCGGGCGCGATCACTTTTTCAGTTGGAGTCGGACTGAAGTGATCGCCAGTGCCAACACCAAGCTGGCGTTCGGAAACAAACAATATTGCCCGTCATGTTGAACTGGGCGGAGACCTACGAGTATGGCTTGCTGACTTGGCTCATCCTAAAAAACAGCTGTCAGTTCATGCTTGGACACTCGTAAACGCACTGATCCGACACATACCCGACACGGAAAATCAACACCTCCCCTTAACTTTTGGTATTTGCTGTAACACGCGTTTCGCCGCCCCCACATATATGACATTCTGGCTAAGCTGAAGTAATTGTAGGCAGTATATGTACTAGCCTTGTGTGTTTAATGATTTTGAGGAATTGCAACAACTGACAATGACTTACCGAGCGGGATTTATGAATGGTCATAGGCCGCTGAATCCTCATTTTATTCTTGTAAACGAAAAGAAAGCAGTTCGTAACCCGTTCTGTCTACGAGCTAACAAAGCGGTTTTTATGTTTTTTATCGTTATCAACAGTCCGACTGACAGCCATCACGGTAACGCTGCTTCTGCTATGCGCGTACCTGCGTCTCCGGGGAGACTGTTCCGCAAATTAAATACTAGACCATAAAGCGTAGCCCGATACTGGGCGCTTAGTGACTAACCCACGTTTTAGCGACCTTTACTGACGAAAAGGTTACAGATCACATTTATTTGTCTGACGCTATTAGAAGGTCTTCGACTTATTTGCCTACGCCGTGCGGTAAAACATCAACTTGCCCTTTAAAGCACGGCTATCGTCAAGCCTTCCTACTGGTGTAGGTAGCGTTCGTAAATATTGCAGTAAGGAGGATAATCTCTTAGTTATGGAATAGCCCTTTTGGAGTTCTTCGACAGTTGCGTTCAACGCTCTAGTAAGCGTGGGTTGGTTATATATTTTCAGTATGCTATTGATGTGCGGACATCAATTCGAAGTCCACATAGGAAGATACTGAATGGTCAAATGGGGTTGGGAGTGGGAATAATTAGACTGATTGAGAGACTTGATGGGCTTAGTGAAAAAGAAGTTTATTAGCCTCTTTATCGTCAAGTAGGCTTAAGAATAGAGGCAATAAGAAAATAGAAGACGAAGACAGGCTCTTCGGAAGAGGTTTATTTATGTGCTGACGTTTCAAAGACCTGGCTCGGCTCTTCATTGTCAAAGCGTAAAATGCACTTAATCGATCAGAAATTTAATTTGAAGTGGCAGTCGTGTTGGCCGGCCTCATGCTGATCGATTTTCCCTCCTCTCGCTGCCTCGGCTTCTCGGGAGATGGTTGACGGGCATTTTGCCTGTGTGCTTTGTGAGTCACCACTCCGGTGTACCACTGGACAGCTGCAAACTACAGTATTCCGAAAATCCACCGACACGAGACAGATCCTACACTTCAACAGCAACCGTCCTCTGTCTCACAAACGTAGTTGTGTCCGCACTCTATTCCAAAGAGTCGCAACACACTGCAGCACACCAGAAGATAAAAGGGCCGAACGATTGTACCTTGTGAACCTATTTGCAGCCAATGGTTATCTCAGGCATTTCATCGAGAATAGCAGATGTTGAGCGCCCAGACAACGGCCAAATGAGCAGCAACCCGAAGTCAGGAGGGCCATTCCTTGCGTTAAAGGGGTCTCTGAAGCAGTCTCGCGACTGTTACATCCCACCAGAGTAGGCATAGCCCATCGACCACAAGCAACAATTCGAAGTCGCCCAATGCAGCCTCAGGACCCATTGCCACCCGATGAAACCTCAGCAGTCATCTACAAAATAAATTGCAATGAGGGCGACTGCAATTATGTGGACGAAACGGGGCGTAAGTTGCAAACTCGCCTACAGGAACACAAAGCGGCCACACGGAGGTTAGACCCTAACTCACAACTAGCAACACACGTTGGAGAAACGGGGCATACTTTTGACCTCCAGAGGGCTACCATCTTAGGCCGAGGCAACACAAAAACAGAACGGCTAACTCTCGAGGCGTGGCTCTCCGATGCCCACCCTATCAACAGGCATCTGGACCTTCCTGCAGCTTGGAAAGTCCTACGTCATCACAATCGTAAAGCTCAGGACCAATCAACCACACCGAACTTAAGAAGGCCGCACGGAAATAGCCCGACGCTGAGTCTACTCGGTGAGGAAGAGGGAGAACCGCCGGACCAACCGCCCGACTAAAGTCCAATCGGTTCCCCTCGACGGAGTGGTGACTCACAAAGCACACAGGCAAAACGCCCGTCAACCATCTCCCGAGAAGCCGAGGCAGCGAGAGGAGGGAAAAATCGATCAGCATGAGGCCGGCCAACACGACTGCCACTTCAAATTAAATTTCTGATCGATTAAGTGCATTTTACGCTTTGACAATGAAGAGCCGAGCCAGGTCTTTGAAACGTCAGCACATAAATAAACCTCTTCCGGAGAGCCTGTCTTCGTCTTCAATTAATCAACCCGGATATCTCAACTTTGCCAATCTGAGCAGTTAGAAAAACTGAGTATGATGACTTTTTGATGCACCATAGCTTTTTTACAAAGCATATTACAGCTTTTTTAGTTTCTGGATCTACCTGAAATGTTGTTAAAATGACTTTCAGTGTTTGTTACGTACAGTTCCTTTCATGCATTTAATTCCAGCACAGATAACAAACTTATTAACCGATGTTCTCATGATCTTAAACGTCACCTCTCGCAATATGTTTCCCTAACATTCCGTCATCCACAATTTTCGTTCCAAAACGTATATATCACATGCGTGCCTTGCTGAGAAATTATAAGTTTACTGCCTTGCTGTCCAAACGTGAATGATAGCAAACTTTGTTTGGTCGTTCCGCGGCGTAATGTACTTTACCTCACAGTGACTCCTGCCTCGGATAATAACATTGCACAAACAAACTCCAGTTACCCTTTCGTCTGCAGGTTGCAATAGCCCGTCCCTTTTTGATCTCGACCTGGATGGAAGGATCAAGGAGCCTGCCGCAGTCACCGGAGGGCCGTTTGCTCTTATCGGCATCGGAACAATGTGCGCCCTCTTCCTCGTTATCGTGTTGGTATCGGCTTTCGTGATTAGGTAAGGCGTATTATCTAGGACGTGTATATTGTACACTTTAAAATTCGCCATACCTATTTGGTAGGAGTCATACTTTAGAAGCTCGTATGTCAAGCAGTCATATGCAACTCTTAGGCATAAATTGAATTTCTGAAAGATGCACCTTTCCGTGAGATCATTTCTCGCACTCAGCTCTAAAAACTCTCTGAGCCGTGTCTGACTGATTAGAGGTAATTTTGAACGTCAACAAGAGCTTCCAGAAACACTGTAAACTAGGATTTATGTTTGATGTGGAGAGTATCTGATGAATATCGACTACACCTGAACGCTTTAATCATGAGCAATGCGACATATAAACTTTTGTGTATTTTCTGCACTGCTCTGATTCTCAGCCCGCACTCGATTACAAGGCATGTATCGCACCATTCCCTTGTCAATAATTCGCCTGAAATAATTAGAAATTATACTTCTCTGGGTTACTTTAACTATGAGTAATTAGGTGAAATAGGCGTTAGTCGAGTACCACTACGTTTAGACACCTGATCTGACAAACGTAACTCATAGACAAAAACTAAGTGCAACTCTTGACTCCCTTCGGATTATTTCCCCTAACCTAACACTGCTAGTGTGAAAACTTGACTGATGGACAATTATATCATTACTGAAATGCATCCAGAATGCTGAGGTAAAGTGGCTTATTTTTAAAACGTTTCGATTAATTCCCCCATTGTTTAGGATATGCCCACTTATTTAAGATGTCGGTTGCTTTCAAGCTAAAACCGACTGATTGATAGCAAACTACATGACAGCACTTAGGGGCCAAAGGGGTATCTTAATTGAGACACAGGAGTAGCTGCAGGCCGTAGTGCCCAGGATTTCGCTGTTATGTGCATGTGCGCTTATATTTTTCATGTCCTTCACATGCAAATCAAGAATAATCCGATCGCGGAATGATAAATCTTTTTTCCCTCCGCTTCTCCGCCCTCCAGCCGAACACGATTTGTACAACCGCATTATAAGGGCAGGCAGCTTTCATGCCGTTAAATGCGGACTGCATGGCTAATTTAATTTTTTGACGCTAAATACGAGGAGGTAGCTGCCGCATAACATGATCAGCGCACGTGAAAATTGCCTGTTTTTACAATTTTGGCGGACACCAGGGGATGATTTTGACTGCAAGATTAACCTATCACTTTGTAAAGTAGCTCACTCCTGTGATTTAAAGATGACGCACTGAAGAGTCCTCTGTGTTTTATTTGGCAATCAGCTCAGGATAATAAGAGGCAAAGTTCCGAATATGGCCAGTTGAGTGGCCTGATAAAACCCAATGTCCCTTCAATTTCTTGGAGACAAACGTATGATAAAGAGAGAACACAGAATGTTATGAGGAGGAAAATCGGAAATAATGAGCTAAAACAAGAAGATGACCATAGGCTTCAGGGCGTCTTTCCGTTGGAATTCACAACGGCAATTTTGTTTTCCTAGCAAATGTGACTTAAATAGAGGCAAATACTACACGGGCGCTTGGATGGCAGCTCAGACTCATTATGCAGCGCGGATGTACAAAAGCCTTTTTTCTCGGCAGATCAATGGCCCACATTAATAATGATTACATGCAACTAGTGTTCTCCAGTTTTGTTTTATAGAGCAGCCGAATAATTTCCCTGTCTAAAGATTTCCTTGCGATGCAAACTTTCCTCCTCTCATCTTCTAAAGTCATTTTAAAGTTCATTCACTTGTTTGGAATGATCTATGTACATAAGGCTGCCAACTGGCTTCACCGGGCAACCAATTTCTGAAATAATGAGAACATGTACGGTTATTTTGATCTTCATGTCCGTTTTCGCGAAAGGCAGGAGACGCCACGCATCGATTTTGACTTTTTAATTTTGTGTAAACGTTGATTGAATGCATAATTAAAGCAAGTAACCATAGCATTCTTCCGAATGACATTTCTTTGTGCCATGATAATGCGTTTTAGCTGCTTTTATAAAAAAATATGAATTATGTTTATTTGTAGATGTAAATGGCTTGCGGCAACAAAGGCGTTGCTTACTCTCCCCTGGGTTTAGCCTTCTTTTCTTCAAGGCTCATCTTTCTGTCAGTTATCGCCTGTCGACAGGCCATTGCATCTGCAAATCTCTACAGGTGCAAAACAGCTGCCATTCACGTCCCACTAGTAGAATCACATCTCAGAGTTATTCGAGCATAAAAGAGACGTTGACAGCTGACGACTGTTCATACGCCGTGATCTACAATTATCCTCCTTGTACAAGCCAATGTGTACTATAGCCGTTCACTGTGCAAGAAAGATTTTTAGGAAGTTCTTGCCATTCGCTCAATATACGTTAAGTTTAACAGCATGTCAGGAAGTAATATGTGTTTGCTTCCTCTACCGACTTGTCCTGGGATTCTGATAAATCATTTGCGAAGTGGGAGATAAAAATGCTTTAAAATGAGCAGCCTCATAAGTTCCAACGTGCAATTTGTTGAGAGCTGCCAAATCCAAGTGCCTATATTACAAATTTAGCCTGGCGAATCGAGTTCCTGGTAGGAACTGGTCATGACCATGGACCCCCAAATTGTGGTCGCGGTATGTTTGATGTTTTAAAAATTAATCCACGACCATCTGACGCCAGCCCCCTGTGGTCAGTGCCCAAGTTAAATTTACATTTGGGGTGCCGGCAGCTTTGTCTCTCTGTCAACTTCTCCCAGCTACTGCGGTCTTGGTCCGGCCGCACGAGGGAATGTTCCGTGAAATGTTGCTTGCTGGCAAAAAATGGTCAATCACACTGTTGCGTCCAATATCGTATTGATAATGTTTATGCGTAACTACTTACGCTTCGGGCCTCAATATAAGCAACACACCTTTGAGTGGACTGTAGCCTGAGTTTACGCCCAGTTCTGTGGCCAGTTCGTCCAGCCGCCCCGCCCCCGTGCATTCGACTAAAAAACGCAACGGCTATAATTATAACGCCGGGGTTATAGAAGGCATAATTAAATTCTCCAATTATTTCTCGCTTGCTCATTTTCGAGCCAATTGCCCCGGCTCCCCCACCCCTCTGGAACAAATTGGCATGCTTCACTGCCAGACAATATGGCCTGGTGTTCTTAAGAGCCCCAACCGTCGGCCACCCTGTTTGTCCGGCTGCTGTCCCCAGAGCGCGAACTCGGCCCTGTTTGACTGCACGCAACAGCAGCCCCAAAAAGGGCGCTTTCACCATAAATGTAATGCACGACGACCCAAACCACGCCTCTGAAAACAGCAAAAGGTGGACGCAGTAGGAGAAATGGCGGTGGGGGGCGGTGGCGGGGTGGTTGCAGTTCGAAGACAGAGCTTCCTCGCGCAGGAAAGAGGATGACGTAGAGGGCGGAGGATTCATTGCGCCAACATACACACGAGAGGAACTGAGCGGCAGGCTGTCTCTTTCTTTGCTAGAGACAAAAATGGTCTGTCTTTCCTATTCCATTTCCGCTCTGGCTTTGTCTAAAAAAGGAACACTCTTCGCGAGCTAACACCTTAATTTGAACGAAAACACTGCACAGATAGATGCAACACAGAGGTTGGGTCCTGTCCGGAGCTCTGCCCTAGGAGAGCTCCCTTTATCCTTTTTTGTATTCGCGGTTTCATAAAACAACCTCACAAGTGGTTCAACCAATTTTGTTGAAGGATAGACAGCTCCGTCGAGAAGGGGACACCGTACTTAGTGACGATCAGTTATGCCGAATGGTACGTTTTTTTTGATAAAGCAAACTAGTTCAGCCCTCCAATTAAAGTACACCAAGTTGTTTACGCGCGGCCTCAGGATTATGGGCAAAGTGGCAGCGTTTTGGTATGAATTTAATCCAGGTGCAGGTCTGTTAAGTTTTGTTTATAACAACACAGAGAGAATCCCCGGAATTCCCTACCTGCTGCAAAAATGTCCAGGCAGTATCCTGACATTTAGAATCAGTTATGTTAGCTTTTGAAAGCACAAGCACACTTAGGCTTGCGTGCCGCTTTTAAAATGGAGGGTTCATTGTTGTTTTGAAAAGTATTCGGTAGACCTCAGGAGCAATGGCTCCATGCTCAGTAATATTAAGCCTCTATTGACGGACCTAAAGACGTCTAAAATCCTTATTTTGAACTCTCTAAATGCCAATTCGGGGACAACCCGGGCAAGGGAAAAGTTGGAACAGATGTGCAAGGTTGAGAGATCTGAGTTGATTAATTGAATAAGAAGATGGACTCACTGGAACATGTTTATATAGATGCAGACGTTTCAAAGAGCTTGGTCGGCTCTCCGTTGTTAAAGCTTAAAATGCGCTTAATCGACTAGAGATCCCAAGTGACGTGTCACGTTGGTCGGCCTCGTGCTGATCGATTTTCCTCTCCTCTCGCTGCCTCGGCCGCGTATTAATTGTCTTCATGCTAGTCGTCTTTGTTGGCATTCAATCCGCACTGATAATCGTTCCTCTACCTTTTACCACAGCGTTCTGTGCCTGGCGACCAGAGAGTAAACTGGATGGGCATATTCTGTTCTGTCACTCTGATGGTTAACGACCAATTGGTCACAACAACTGAATCCTCCAGAACGGTTGCGTCCACGGTGCTCCCCAAACCGCGGACGGTGACTTTCGCATGAGCTAGTTTGTAACGGCTGTGAACATCATCTGTTCAAACCTCTCCTCCCTCATCCTGTTGGGTTAGATTAGAAGATTACCTCAGAACGACCGAAGGCAGGACAGGACACAGTGGTTGACAACTTGAAAAACACGTGCCACGCCCACACGCCTGATCTGCCTACAAAAACAGGAGGGGTGACAGCTCAAAACCGGGCTGAGCGGGACTGTCATGAAGGAGCCACTGCGGACTGACTGGCCGTTCTAAGCGCATAGAGGTACCCCGTCAGCGGGAAGCATTCCAATCCACAACTTTCAGCGTGCTGTTGAAAAAATGAAAGTGACCCTGACTTTTTATAGCAGGGGAATGCTTCGAATCTCCCCGAGGATCGAGTACCAAAAGTGGGTCTGGTGCGGAAGTTTTGCGCTGGTCTTTGGCGCGACGCGAGCCTGCGACCAGACGTGCCGTTAGTCTTTTCGCATTTGTGCCATTTTTTGCACTCTTTTATTTGCTCCCTCCCTAATGGTCTAAAGCAGCACCCGTGCGGCCTGTTTGAAGGACAGATGACTCACTCGTACACGTTGGTCCCGTGTCACGTGAAGCCGGTCGCACCCTCCGTTGTCTTGACTCGGTCTTCGCATCGCCGGCGTGTAGTGTGGTAAATTCTGCGCAAGCCCGCTGTCACTTAATGTTAATTCACGCGCAAGCTACCGTTCCTGCGCCCACCCTGCTTTGGGGCATAGTGCGACCTCGTGGGAATCGAGGGTTAAACTGTAATTTCATGTCCTCAGCGAAGCACTACAGTTGGTGTTGGCATAAATCATCCCGTTTCAAATTATCCAGATCTTAGTAGTTTTACTTATACAACGCACGTTATGAAGCTACAGTCTCACAGGACTTATCCACATAGTCGCTTGTGAGTACAGAATAACTCTTTGTATGAGAAACTATTACCTCCCTTCAATTTCTCTGGATGTCCGCTTGAAATTTTTATACAGCATATAAACCATCTAGAGAGGTTTGCAGAGACGAAAGAGACGTGCCGAAACGAACTATGAGATTATAAGGATATAGTGACTAACCAAATTCGTCCCAGATTGCTTCAAAACAATTTGTACTTAACTCACTAAAATAACGGCAGTGCAAAGTGCAATTAGCATTTAGGTCGTGCATCATACTAATCTTATGGTATTTATGACCGACGATGGATGCTGCTTGTATCAAAGGGAGTACGGCAGCCTGAAAGCACTACATTTACTCAATTCTGCATTTAAAATGGCCATGAGGTCTATATTCTTAGTGCCATAGTCCCGTGGCTTTCTCTTCCGAACCTGGTGGATGTGTTTTGCAGGCAGATGGACGATTACGGACCCAAAGTCCGTCAAGGATGCTTATCGGACGGGAGTAACGGCTGCTATTGCTGATATTACTGCAAACGCGTACGTCCGATGACGGAAAATGTGGATTTATAGCTGTTTCACTGGAACAGTCGCGCATGGCGAAAGGATGGCGGTCAGCCATCAGTGAATCGGAGATTATACTCTACAAATATATTGGCCATCTCCGTCGCTGAGAGCAAATTAATTCCTGCAATGAATCAATTTTTCATCTTTGTTTCGGTTTTAACTTAAGTAGGTTGGTTTGCTATTAATTATCTAAACTATCTTAATCATTTAAGGTGACTTTCGGCTTATAAAGATGACTGTTCGAGTTTAGATTTGGGTCTAAGAAGGCATTGCCTTTAATCGGAAATCACAAATGCCAAGATCGTTTAGCTTCTCAGGTTTCGAATTCTACCCGACAGTTTCTGCGGTCTGTTGACAGAAAGGTTCTTCAATGAGTACTGGTTGTCGAAAAAGAAATCATGCATAATCCGACGCCGAAATCGGAGCTGACTGGAATACACTGCTGCACTAGGTGTTACCGACACTGTGGTCAACCCCTCAGTTTTTTTTCTGGACGGAATCAGCATATGCTATGGTCAGCCGGTGCTTGCATCTGCGAATGCAATGGAACTTGACTTTGAACGCCGGTAAACTTTGACGTATGATAGGAAATGACACCCGCCGTTGGTCCGACGTACCTGTCAGGAGAGCGAAAAGCGTAAAGAGAAGCTGCTTCACTGAGAAAGTGTTAGTGATAAGATGCATGGTCCGCAGAATTCCCCAAAGGCTGTGCGTAGCGCCATTTTAGATTTAATAGCCTGCTCCTTGTTACTCGGAAGAATATTTCCCGGAGGACACAGGTAAAGCCTTCTGCAACTGTTATTAATGATCCTTTTAATAACTAACCACATCCGTTGCGAGGTGCCTAAATGACTTTTACGTTTTTGCTGAGGTATGCTAGAGGCCTCCGTGAAAAAAAGGCGACCTTGGAAATAACCAGAAAACATTTTTCGATTTCATAAATATGAACGTAAAAATCCGAATAGTTATCCAGACGTTTTGAATTGTCTCACAGTTATTAACGTAAATTACTAAACATGCAGTGAATGCACATATGCATATGTATTAAAAACAGACAGACAAATAAATTTAATTATGAAGATGGAATTCTTTGAGAAACTGACCGTTTTTTGTATAAATATTCGAGACCATTTCCCCAGCTTATCTTCGGCCATGGATCTGCGAAGATAATTACTTTCTAAACTGATTCTAATAAAGGATTCCATGATCGATTCAAGTTTGTGTTAATGCGTGTTGATTGTATTTTATTACCTTCTTGGCGTTGGTGGAGCCAGTTTTGATTTGTCCTGAACCATTTTGTATGTGGCCTCTAGACCCCTATGCCGGTTGATGCATGCCTCGTCTGATTGCATTGCTTCCAGTAATTTGTGACCTTTCGTTATTGAGCAGACGTCAGCAATGAGAGCGCTCTCCCATGAAAATGTGTGTCCAGTGTCCATTCTGTGCATGGTCACCTGAGATAGATGGCCGCATCTCTTCACCGCTAACTGATGTTCTTGTACACGGTTTGAGACAGACTTCCCAGTTTGGAAACAAGAGACGACATCACAACTGGAACATGTGATCTTATAGACAACGCCTTTTCTTTCGAGGTGGCCAACCTTGTCCTGAGGGTATACAGGTTGTGTACGCAACGCCTGGTGTGCTGTGCGTACCTGCATAGGTGTGCTTTGTCGATGTGCATTAAAATCGATTGACTGGATGCATCCGCGTAGAGCACCTTTGATGAGACTGCTGCAAAATAAATTGCAAGCTGTCTTAAAAAATTAGGTTTGTGCTTAGGAAATTAACGAAAATAGGGAGACGGTTGTTACCAGAAATGAAAATTCTAGATCTTATTAACAAAACCATTTCAGTATGTAGCAATATGCAATTTGAGGTTGGTCCCCCATTAATATCCACGGTCGTTGGTGGTGTCATGTAAACGCAGCCAACATTTGCTGCGAACACATGATTTGTGCCGCTTTTCGTCCCAAATATCAAAAATATCAACGGGCGTCTCGTCCATTTCAGTATTCCAAGGTTTGTCCATATACTCGTTCACAAATATGAAATTTTGCCTAGATCTTGCTGACATCCTGGAAAATCTTTGGTAGAATAATTGAAGTGTTTATAAGCTTGTTATCTATCGATAGTTTCTGCTTTATATGGCACTTTATTAGATAACATAGAGGCTATGAACCCTAAAAGATGCGAACTTTAACCGACCCGACAACGCCACATGAAGCTGTATTAACAGTGTAACGGAGCAAAACGATTTTCTTAGGGGATGCGATGATTGGCCTAGGCAGGCTGCACGAGCCATAACTCCTGCCTTATCTAGAGATGTCCCCTTAATCGAGCCACGCGGTAAATACGCTGGACCAAGACGGAAGCTAGATCAGGTTTCAACGCGCATACCTGGGCTGCGTTACCATAAAATATGCCATAAATGGTGTACGGTGACTCGCCCAGGTGTAGGCTCTAGCCACGCCCTTAAAAATTCAATAATATTTCATGGAAAACATTGCATAAAAATATTCATCTTTTTACTTATTCAGTAGAAAATCCCATCTTCTTCCGATTTTTTATTTGAAAGAAGAGTATAAGTAAGTTTTAGAAAAACGTTTCTAATTCCGGAAAACTTTTGGACCGGACCTGCTATTACACTTGCATTCAGGGTTTCCAAATTACAGACCGTATATTTTCCGCGTACTGAAAATCATATATTTCTCTAAGATATTAAAAGATTATATGAGGTCCGAAAAATTAAGCAGGGATTTTAGCAATATTGTGAACTTAACAAGCCACATTCTTAAATGCAAATAAATGAGGTTTTATGAACGGCCATTTCACGGTATTTAAAAACCTAACAAGCAGAAACTTTTTTAAAACCGAATTATACACCTCTTTCAAGTATGAAATTAAACGAAGACGCGGTTTTCTTCCGAATAAGTAAAAGAATGAATATTTTTATGCATATTTACCATGAAATATAATTGAATTTTGTAGGACATCGAAAATCAGTGAGAACCTTTCTGCTACATAAAGAGTCATTTTTGCAGTGTATCATTCTTGCGTGTCGTCGAACAGCCGACGCTCTTAGGTAATTAAATCATTTTAGAATTATGCTGCATGATGATTAGTTTTACAACCCTACTTAATTAATCTTTTCGAAACGAGAACGATTTTCGTAACTTCGGTTGACATTTCATGCATAAGCCCACCTAATGTACAGTCCCCGTCCCTGCGCCCACCATTACTGTCAGTAAAAACGGTCAAAATGTGGTTGTTTGGTCCAATGGACTATTCGGGGGTGCAAAATCATGATAGCCTATGAGTGACAAGCTACGCCGGCCGACGCGTAAGAACTGGCGCCGGTTCGCGGCCTAGGTGCACAAGAGGCATTTTAGATAAAGTCCGAGAGGGTGTCTTTGCGATAGCGGCATGCACGTACTCTGGCGCGGTTGTCGCGGCCGTCGACTGACAGACGTCGGAAAATGGGGGGCGGGAGAGAACTGTTGCAGCGCCTGTAGTGCTGTATCTTGTGGTTGTTACAATGGTGGTAGTAGTGTTGATGACGGTGACGAGCTGTTGGGCAAAAAATAGGCCCTGGGAAACTGAAGTTGATCACTGGGACATATTTGTCCTACTTCTGGTGTTCCAATGAGAGTGGATTTCTCTCCATTTTGTAACCGTTTCATACCGAAAATCGACCAGGATTTTAAATGACTTGTCGAGCTTAGCGACCGCGGATCGATCGATTTTTGATTTCGCTCTCTTTGCTTTTTGGCAAATTTTGGTGGCGCTGGACGGCTGCTGACGATGTCTCGTCGTCCTAGTAGAGGATGATTTTAATTCTACCTATCCTCGTCGAATGAGTTGGTCTCGTTACTGTGTTTGCTCAGATTTCGTAGTTGTGTTGTGACCATCTTGTCCTGTCCTTTATGCCTTTAATGTCATAGGACTTTAGGGGCAGCTGTCTGTTCATAGAATCAGCATCTGAATACCATTGTCGAAGAGTGAGTCATTCTGCTTTTGAGGTACCTCGGCGAAAGATAATCGGTCCTTGAAGGTCAGAAATGTAGCCCGGTTTTTCAGTATGAGTTGCAGGTTTTGGTTTAAACTGCAAGTCCACAGTTTTATTCTTATAGGCGGCTCTGAAATTCCCTTTCAATTTCCCCGACGCAGTCACAGTCCCCGTAATTGCAGCACATTTGGTAAACAGTTGCCGAAGGCTTTGTTGCAGGGCTCTGTCCCTAGGTTGCTTCACAAGACGACGAACTGTTGCCTGGGGCAGATGGAATTTGCCTATTCCGGTGAGTGCTTATTTTCAAGAGACCGCCTCGGAGACCCCCTTCATGTAGGGAATGATCCTCCAGAGCTTGGTTTGCTTCCGTTTGGACTGTCCTTTGCTCATGCTATGTTTGTTTTGCTTGATAAGTGAGCTCGGAATCCATTATTTTGGATGAGGTCATGAAGGTATTATCATCCAGCTTTTTCGTGAACCGACGTGCGTTAATCCATCTCAACCCTGTGGAATAAAATGCGAACGCAGTTGCGTTTGTGAGACAGAGAGTCAATGCAATTGAAATGTGGTGTTTGCATAATGCCGATAACTTTTCTGAATACTGCAGTTTGCGGTTACCTAAGTGCACACTGGCGTACAAGGATATCGAGAAAGAGAGATCGGCTGTTTGTTTCAGCTTCCGTCGTGAAGTGGATATTCGGGTAAGGTAACATCATTATTTTTTAATGCGCAATGTTGATCGTTTTGGCAATGGCGAAAGTTTCACCAACTTGTTGAACCAAGAACTTTGGTTGATTATTAATGAACACCAGGTACTCTATCCGTTGAAGGACCACTTGATCAATCGGACCTGGTTGGGAGGAGTCCATTAGAGTGTCTTTAATTCGTCCACACATATGTCCATCGAATGTATAAAAAGTCGTAAAGCGGTGTCGTTCAACCTCTAGCAGATATTCGGACTTCAGTAGCTTGTCTCTCTCGTCGTAGCATTCAACCGGGTGTTATCCCACAGTGTAAATTAGTCAGTTCACAGCCAACTAACTAGACTATTCATTTAAAATGCTGGTCGATTTTTGATTTTAGGCGCTTTAAAAATGGGGAGTCGACCAGGCTCTCCGGGGCGTCAGCAACAGTACAAGTCTGTCCCGATGGGCAACTTTCGTTTTTCTGCCTATCAACCAGAAACTCTCAACTTTACGAGCCTGAGATCAAGTCCTTATTACCTTGATTCCTGAGTTCCATTAGGGCATATTTTTAATCACACACCCGTGCATCCGATGCGGAAAAATATAATTATACTCAATAAGTTGACAATCCTATTTAGGAGAAAATTCAGCTACCCCAAAGGGGCTATGGTCCCCAGAAGTAATGGACAACCTTAGAACAAAAGAAGCCCTGATTGTCTGATTTATTGTATCCTGACTCTCGGACGATTTTTTAGACTAAAAGTGAAAGTCCCAGGCTGTAACCAATAACCTGCTGGTGGTCGTCGTTTTGTCTGTACTAAAATTATGCCATTACTGTCATGGGCTAGAATCCCTCCAGAGTCGCCAAGGTTTCGACGTTTAGTCGTGCTACATGTACATTTTCAGAAAAAGGGGAATTAGTGGCCGGAATAAAAAAGACTTATCAGAAAGACGCAACTGGTTTAGTCTTGAAAGAAACCAAAGCTTTATCTGATGCATAAGAAATGGGACATTTATAGGGGGATTTTTTTAAGCAATCCTACACCTTCTAAAAGTACCTGCCGTCATGCTCATCGCAGATGTTCCAATCACCTCCAATAGCTATTCTGTCAGCGAAATCGAAGAAGTTAATAGTCTTGACCACTTACCCTGCCCAGATCGGGCCACGGCGAAAAGTGGGGACGAGGAAGTCCGTTGTTTTGTGATGGAGTTCAGCCTGGTGAATCCTGACTTGAACAACTCGTAACTCACGCGTTTTTTAACCCCTGCACTCACCCCTCGCTGGATTTCAGCCGGATACCGTGCGGGGCGCAGGGTGCGGCGGAGGAGTCTGGAAGGGTGAGCGATACATGACACACCATTCGAACGTCGCTTTTATCCTCACAATCTGATGACAAACTAGCTTTATATCTCTCAGACTTTGCGACATTAAACTGCATCCAAAAAAATTGAAGTCAAAACTATAAACGTATTGCTGAATAAAGCGAACAGGCCAGTTTCAGGAGGCAGTTCAGAAGGCGATGTTTTAATTACTGGAATAAGAAATGTATTGACCTGATGTTTCGGATTCTCACACGAGCCCATCATCCGAAACACACGGCATAGGTAGTCGGGGCACCAAGTGCGCAGAACTTGTAAAGCAAGGTTGTCAGGCAGCTATACGCCCATTATATTTAGTAGTAATCGCTTTCATTGTTAGGGGTTGTAGGTGGCGCGAGGACTGTTTATCGGTCCGTGCCGAGTCGCTAATAGTCTGGATTTCATCGCCGTTCTCGATTCTTTGTTCGGCGATGACTCGGAAATTTGGCTGACCGTCACCTTGACTGTGGGCCACCCACATTTTTCCTGCGTGGCTAATCATTCTGCCAAGGTAAAATGGCATCACAGTATACGGAGGCGGAAAGTCAATGCGCTTCTTACTTGGATGCGGGGGGGAGAACCGTGACCAACAGTCACATTGATAGGGAGCCAAACGAACAAGTAATCGTCAGGACAGAAATTGACACCCTCTATAAAATCACGGCAATCAATGACTCCATTAGGGAACATTAATCATCGCACCAACTACGGAACCTCAAAGATAAGCACGAGCACTGACCAAATGTAAGCGTGTGGTTGCCGGAAAATCGTGAGCCATAAGTACTGCGCATCTTGTGCCTCTAATACTTTATCTCTGAGTGTATCTGGTAATGCGTTCGACTGGTGATCCAAAACGCCAGGTTAATGACCTCCTAGGCCCAGCGATCGTATATTTCTCTTGTAAACGGTAAACATGATTATGGCGCCGGAATCAGTCATAATTTATACAAAGGAGTTGTGCGAGGTGCTACCTGATACCAATGGGATTTTTAGACAGATTAATCTACAGACAGGGCTGGCGCAAAATGAAAAAGTTTACTGTCAGTCGGTGAGACATGCGAGGCGACACTGTCGTATTGAACAATATGAAATATTTCCAGAAATGTCGTAATTTCCTCAAGAAATTTCCATTTTTTAGTTCCGTGCAACTTTAGTCAGCAAAATGTTTAATAGCAAAACTGATGCGGTAATTTTGATGATTGAAAACCTGTGTAAATTTCTATCGATAGATCGGCACATGACGGGAGCTCAATAACCCGCGATAGTTCTATTATGCAACCGTTGACATGTACAAGGAAGGTGCTTCCATCCGGATCGTACGGTCTTGTAAAGCTCGAACATCCTGCTCTTCCAACATCATGGAAAAAACTGATGGAATAAGTATGCGACTGGTTTGTTCGTAATCACTAATGAATGTTAAGCTTAAAGGTTCAAAGAACACATCAACTAGCAATTTATTCTTAAATATAGAGATAAGGGTGGCCTGACTCTGGTTTATTTTTTTGCCGTAAATATGCGCTTTCTCACTACGTCAACAGTTCCTGAAGATAATCAATATAATAAAAGTACTCACTTTAAATGGTACTCATGCAACCCAAAAAGGGTGCGGAAAGGACACGCTGCTGAGTCCTGTAGGCACGCCTTATATCCGTATCTCACGTCCATCTGCCGCATCTATCTGGCGCTGCTGTAAAATGTAGGACTCAAGGCGTTTGCTTGGTGTTTCAATGCTAGTTCCATCGCCGCCCCCATAGTAGATCTGTGACTTTCCAACTGCCTGACAGAGCACGTCCCGTAGGATGCTGGTGGTGAGTGGTGAGATCATACGTAAACATAAATTGGGGTTAGATCGCAGTTGGTAGCCGGGAGTAGGGAAGCGAACGGCGACCTTAACCCTAACTCTAACCTTCGCCTCAATCGTAAACGTTAACCGTTGACTCTAACGGCAACCCTAACCCTAGCCAAAATCTTAAATGCAACCATGACCCTTAGACATAGCCGCAACTGGAAAACCTAACCGTAATACTGAAACCTAATCGTACGCTCAAACCCTAACCCAAAAGCCTAGGTCTAAAGGCATTACCCTAACCTAAAAATCAAAAACCATTAACCAATACCCTTATCCTAACGTCAAACGTAAAACGGAGGCCAAATGGGTCAGATGTGATTATGGAGTCCCACAGAATAGTCCTAGTAAACAGTCCCCCCCACCTGTTATACGGGTCCTGGCTACCAACTGCAATCTAGCCTAAATTCGTTTTTAATAACCACGGCTATCTGTCTGTGTTTATTTCTGTCAAGAAAATGCATGCTTGAACTGTCACTAGTAGGCTCAGTGAAGCCTAAGCATCAAACGTGTTCTGCCGGGGTTCGAAACCCAAAGAAATATCAAAGAAACTCTCCTCAGAAGGAGGATTCAACGGGCTCATCACTTCAACGCAGTAGATGTCTCGTGAGCCTGCAGGTTTTCTCCCCGTCGTTCTCAGATAAAAATTCCATAGGACATATTAGAGCTAGTGTACCTTTACACAATTAGTTCATTCTTGTTAGAATACTTCGTTCTGCTTCTAGAAATGAAGATTTAGAAGTACAGTTATGTGTATGACCCCGAATGCATAAGTTGTGTTCCGCAGAATAGAAACGTGCATTCATGCAGGAATTTTGTTAATGCACTTCTAAAAACGCAAGATTCTGATTTCACATGAGAGAAAACACGTTTAATTGGGAAATAAATGTACTGAGGTTTTTGGAGTATCTGCTGAGTGAATGTACAATGGGTGTATGCTGCTTATAATAAGAACACTCAACACATCTCTCCTGATGAACAGCCCTAACTCACTATTCTACCCTCCGGCTTACCAGCCAGGTTTGTTAGCATTATGGTTATTCTTTTGTCAGACTTTAGGGCGTAAACTTAACAGACCGATCGCTCTGTCCCAAATAACTGAATTATACCGCTTCGGGAGTCCATTTTATTTTGTATTAGCAGTAACATGGTGCACACATTGCAAGTAAATCTGACACACGCCAAGCGTCCATACACAAAAAAGACCGGTACCCATGTTTCATCGACCTCTGTTGCATGCAACTACAACATGAAGTTGGTTAAATTGTAGCTTTATCCTCAGACATTATCGTGGGAATTTAGGTGCAATTGCCAGTTTTCCCAAATGTGTGAACCTTTCTGAAGGCAGTTTCAATATTTGGTCCAAAAATATGTTTGGCCACTTGACCTTAATATCACGAAAGCACGAAAGTCATGTCAGACGCAGCGTGTGAGGGAACTTCAGAAACATTGACTGACATTTTCATTTATAGCCTTAGGTATTACTGTTTCTGTGGCACGAATTACTGTGCAAAACTGCTGCATATGCGCCCGGACGCCTGTTTTTGATGGACCAATCTTGCAGTTTACTGCACGCGATCGCAAACGATACCTTAATTGATGTATATGTGTTTGCATGTTTCGTAGGGGCCCGTATTCATAAGGAAATGTTTGTTGAGAAGCCGCAAAGAATATTCAATTTATTGTACATTATGCATTATGAATCATGCGCCTTGCCCACTCATGGTAAGAAAAGGGTGTCATTCGCTTGTAAAGATGTGCACACCTTTGAATATTCTTTGGGCACTCACGATACCCTTTATATACTCAATCGTTTGCATATTTTTCAGTGTTGATTTCCGACGCGATTAATCAATACTACGAAAAGATATGGCATCAAGATGTTTCCCCATAATGCGTGGCAGTTCATAGCACTTAATACGGAAGCTCAATTCTCAAACACAACAGCAAAATGGCCAAATAAAAGCGTGTGATTTGGCAAAGTTTTTAAAATAGAACAGTTTCTTCCTTCGCTTTCGAATCTTAAAAAAGCTACATTTCTAAAATGTTAAAACGGTTAATTTTTCCTCCTTTTGCAAAGTATGACTGTATTTTTGTACATGCCAAAAACCAACATGCGGTAATTTGCACAGTTGCCCAATTTTAGCAAGCACTATTTCCACGCGCACCCAGACATATTTTGGAACGAAAGCAGCAACTGAACACGTGCAGAATATTTTGAAATGATGTCGCATGACATTCACCACTGCAAACTCAATAAATCCTCCCTGGATCAAAATGTATTCTAAGGTTCCGCCGAATTTTTTAACTTGCACCAAGTACGATAACAGCAAATTCACTGACAATTTAATTCGTTGCACTATGCGTTGCCCAAAATTAGCCCTAGACTGGCTGCCAGTTAAGGGCACTTTAACTGTGCTTTATGCTTGTATCATGTTGGACGTATACTTAAAGTAGTATGTCATATATGGCATGAACTTTTAAGAACAAACTGAAAACAGGGTCATGGGGAGGCTGCTTATTGCGAACTTTCTGCAAATGAGCTCTCCTGAACGTTTATATCTTTAATCAAACAGGGTAGTTATTGAACTTTAAAGCCCGTGCGCATGTCCTCCATGGCAACCGCCGCTTGTGAAGATTTCTGTCCACACATTCGCATACGACAGGCCAACGTCCTGTTCGACGATGTCCACCATGCGTTCCATAGTACAATGGGCAGAGTGACGGTGTCATGTGCGCGGATCAATATATAGTGCAGGTAGACATGCGATGTCTCTAGTGCATTCTCTCTTTTTCCTCACCCTCGTATATCCGGTATCAAGATAGAACGGAAAAGACTGGAGGCGGAATCGGGTTCAAATGTCTGACACGGCGCAAACCCACACGTGGACGTGCCTCCACATCTCCTACGAGTTCACAAACGCACACACACCGGGGTTTTATCTTTTTTGTCTTACACTCGCGCTGTGTTCAACCCTCGCAAATGTAACTGTCGAATAAGCTGCGGGAAAATCTGATTATCAACAAATTTTGTCCTGCTCAAAGGGCGAAAGCGACAGCAATGCGGTCAGATGAGGACATACAGATAAAACATGTCTAGTTGATTCCTTTGTCATTTCGATTCAACATTTTAAAAAGGGGATGGGGGTGAAAATAAAATTTAATTTGGCCGGGCCCTCCTATTAGATTACTGTTAGAGTACCAGCCCTGCTCCATGAGATCAAGTTTGATCGAATTTGTTCGCAACATTCATTAGATGTATTGTATCATATATTACCATCTCACGGCGCCATCATGGCAAACCGCTCAGTAAGATGCCAATACATACTACAGTGGGTGGTTCTGTTTAACTTCCTTCACATTCCATCAGATCACCCTTGCATTGCCGAATTGTGAGCGTCAGTTGCTCTGGTGAATGTAACTCGAAATAAACAGACGAGATTCATTGCACCTCCGGACCAGGTATTCGTCTTCTCAAGCCTATGTCTGGTCCCATGATATTGTGCAACGCTTTAGGGTCTGGCTTTTCTACTCCCCAGTCTCTCCCTCCAATTATCAACAGATCATACCTTGTCAGACAGAGATTTTAAATTCATAAAAACCCCGCTCTGAGACAGGCTCTTTTCTGCAGAGGAGGAGTGTATCAAATGCTTGTGGCTGCAGTGGATTCTGGTCAGCTGTTCACTCACTTTTCGGGTCATTCTTGGGTTACTTTTGCGTGACTCTACCAGTTTGTCCAAAACAAAAAACAAGCACATTCTTCTTATCCCGCATGCACTTCAGGCTGGCGCTTCGAAACAACCTTGCATTTTATTGGATCTTGGTTTTAAGACGTTGGCAAGGGATTCGCTTATCTTTGGCTTTTTTATCTCAGTCACAGTGAATTTTCCCGGCAGGTCGTTATGTGGGAATTGTTTTCACGCAAAAATCGTCCCTAATGCACTATTTACTTGGCCGCCTATGAAGGGTGTGGAGGCAACGCCGTCGCAATTGGCAACCGAGGCGGTTTTTTGGACTGTCAAGCAGACCGACAGTCTTTTTGTGCACTTCAGACGCTAACACACTCACTGCAATAGCCAGAAAATTAAGTACGATGCAACATCTGCCAACGCGATAGCAACCAAACCTCCATCTGGACTCGCATCAGAACTACTGCAATGCATATCAGTTCGAATATGCAAAACATCCAGAAGAGTTTTTTGCAACGTTGATGCACAAAAGAATATGAAACGGCTGCCAGTGTAGGGGACCGTCGAAATTTGGATAAAGTCTTAGAAACACGAACCTGAGCTTAGAAACACTCAGAAGAACTAGTCACAACTCAGAAGCCCTAATGTCCTCACAGGTGATAACAGCGCCACCTACGTCACAAATGCGTAACTTGCGGCCAAAAGTCACTCTGAGGATCTCCGTTCTCTCACCTGAAGGAAACTCCAAGTGGCGCAGTCTTCGCGGCGAGATAGTGAATGGAGCCCGATGGAAAATCTCAGACTTACGGTGTTGATTTTATGCCTGGTTAACAGACATTAATCCACCCCTTTACCTGCACCGTGTGTTCGCACTCAATCAACGTTATACCGAACGTTCTACTAAAAAATACACGCTTGAAAGTCGTTTGATTTGACGTGAAAATCAACAGCCGAACCCGTGGAACACAGGTGTCTATGGCATAATCAAACGGTGCTTGTCTGACTGTTCGTCGTTTGGGTTGCATTGAATTGCGCGCGGCCGTGGACAGGAGCGCGAGGTCACTTTTGGTAACAGGTTTTCTGCTTCGATTTGCAGTTCGTTGTTTCGCAACCGACTAATATCTGCACGCACAGCCACGTTCTTACTCTCCAGAACCATTTCTTATTTTTGATATCTAGATTGTGTTTCTGCAACAAGACAAAAAATAGCGGAAAATTTAATCTTTTCGCAGGTCTTGATAAATAAAAACAGTTTATAGAAGCTACAAAGCGTAGGTAAGACCATCTTAGATGACATTCCGAAGGCATTACGCAACCAGCAAATTCAGCAAAATCGAGCGGAACAACCTGAGAAATTATTGTATGTTGACTTAAAAGCGTCTCTTAAAGCCAATTTTCCAAAGTCATCCCTACCACAGGGATCTGAAATCTATATGCCTTGTCCAAAGATTACTTTTGTGACAGGTAAGCCAGATCGCCTACATGTGTGTTTCTTGTGTTTGGGCGTTTGTTTCCTTTGCTTTTTTACGGAAATACAGGAGTAGGGGCGCAAATTACTAGTCGTGGTCGCCTGCAATTACATATAGTGCGTGACCGATCCCATGAAATGTTGATCGAAATACTGAAGTGCGTCTTTGATTAGGATGGAATACTTAGGTGGGATTGGAATATTGACCATCATGCGAGATAATCTTATAGTATTTTAAACTTGTCAATATGTTAGTTTTTGAATGCACTTCTTTTCGACCTGCAAACACCACATTTGGTAAAAAATGACTACTCATTTAGCATGCATTTTCCACCTTAATTTTCAGTGGTCTTATAAATCGAAAATTATTTTATAGAAAACATGCGTAAAATATGCGTCATTTTACTCCTTTGGTATAAAAACACAGTATCTCAAAATTGTATACCGTATACTTAGGTTTTAAAAAGGATTCTCAATTCTCGAATAGGTTTGAGACAAATTAGCTACTAGCGTCGAACAATCTCAATTTACAAGGTACATGTTATCCGCGAAGGAAAGATCATATATTCCTCTATGGCTTTAGGACGATACCATGTGTGGTTCATCAAAATTTCGCAATAAATGTTGACTATGTGTTACTTTTCAACAGGAGCACTGACAAACGTGCATGTGCGATGCTCTTTGTATGAACAACGCATAGTTATAAAAAATTCAAAATTAGGAACTTTTTTAAAACCGGAAGATACTATTTCTTCGAGTACAAAATGTGAAGATAAAGTAATTTTCTACCAAACGAATTAAAGAGTGCACTCTTCGCTGTTTATGCACTTCCACTGAACTGTCCTTTTCTTCGACTTGGGTTTATACTGCGGTTGCAAACTACCACAATACCATCTGCATAGTAATTAAAATTACTTCAAAATGACACAATTTTGCTTTATCCGTAAATTTAGCTTGTTAGCTACTTCTATGGAAGTAAACTAACTTGCTCACTCTTGACTGAATAGCGTTGGCGCTGAACATGACTTTAAGTCCTTTGCAGAACGCTGTTGACCCATTCTCCCACTGCGAGGAATGAAACGGCAGATTATGCCTGGTTACGTTAAGGTACCCATGTCTGAGCAGTTTGAACAGTGAGAACGATAGAACAATGTATCTGCTGGAAAAATCGAAACATCAACTTTGCAAAAAGTTAATATGACAAATTGGCTCACATTGTCAAAGAACACGGAGTACCACTGTGTACTTTCAACAGCCGTGTTTGTTAGGCAAAAGCCACAGCGAAGAAGCTTAGTTTTAGAGGATTTCACACTTGTCAAACTCAGACGCATTAATCTGGATCTTCTAGAAAACTTAGTCAACAAATACGACGCGGCGGTTTTTTGATAGGTCAAATCAAGTGCAGACACTTTTGTCTTTTCAGAGGACCGGGGTCAGCGCATTTTTTGCTGAAAGCAGATGAGCTATCTTGAGCTTCACGAATGAAACTCTATTGCGCCGGAAGTAAACAACCTCGCAAAGCAAGAAATGTCACCATAAAGTTATTCGTTGAGGGAAAACGTCAGTGCGCCTCAGAAATATTGCCAAAAATCCTGTAAACAACTGCAGCATTAAGAAACTTCTGAGCATCAGGCATAAAACTAACGCCATGTAAGGAGAAAAATAGAATTATTCGTCACATAAAGAAAAAACAGAAATGACACTTGGAGGCCAAAAAATCTAATATGGACGATCTCCGTTTTGCGAAGTGCTAATTCAATCATAGTTAGCTTTTTAATACCAGCCTGTTTGAAAATGGCAGTGAAAAGAGTCATACTCTTTTTTCACACTAAGTCGCGGCGTATTTGGCATTGTTGTTGACATTCATCTAGGGAACACATACGCTTTAATAATTATGATGAATCTCCTCAATATATGCTGTTTCTGCGTCTTTCAATAGAACATGCACTTTGATCTGCTGTATTTTCACGTGTCCAGTTTGCAAATCGTTCTATAAATTAGTATGCAGACTTGGAGAAAGTTGATGTTACGTCCTGAGCCAAACTCTGTCAGCTTTAATGAGATAATTGCTTAATATTTGAAAGCAACCAATTAGCAGCCGAAAAGATAAATACGTTGTTTATTATCAACCGTATTGTAGCACATGTATCGGCTAAAATTCCAGACACCAGTTTTACCGATTTTCTGCAGCTCAAGTATTCGACAGTGAGCGTTTCGATTCATCAGTTAATGCATCGGCATGCTTCTTGTAATTTCTGTTATATACTATAGCTTTGGTAATATCCTTTTCAGGACGAGTCTGAAAAGATATTTTCCGAATGGTTTACACTTAGTTAACGCAGTACATCTGTGGAAAAGACAAAACTATATTATCAATATTGGAATATCAAACGAAAATAAAACGGAAAATTTGAGGAACAGGCCGATAATTGGAACCACCCACAGCTATGTCGTGCAGAATTTGTATATTTTAGATCAAAGGGAATTCTTCGACTATAATTAAGTTAAGGTCGATTATAACAAGAATCTTAACTTACAGTGCCCGATCGATCTCATGAAATGTTGGCTGAAATACAGAAATGCGTTTTTAATTAGAAAGGATTACTAAGGTCCGGTTGCAACATTGATTAGCGTGTGGCATAATCCTATAGTATGTCGGATTTGCCAGGATGTCGGCTTTTGGACGCACCCTTTTTTCACCTCCTGCAAAAACCGTACTCAGTAGACAAATGACTACTTAAGGAGCATGTATTTTTACTATGGATTATCGATGGGCTTATAAATTTAAACGTACTTTATAGAAAACGTGCACATAAATAAGCTTTTTTAATCATTTGGTGGAAAATAACATTGTTTTATCGTTTTTTGTACGAAAAAGTGTATAGGTAGATTTAAAAAAGCTTACCATTTTTTAATATTTTTGAGCCTGATCTGCCATTGCATGGTCTTCGCGTAAGGAAAATCACATATTCCTCTATGTTTTTAAGATGATATTACCTAGATTTCATGAAATTTCGCAATGCATCCGAACTGTGTTGTACATTTCATGAGCAGTAGCGGTAAACGGACATTTGCGGTCATTTATGCATGGACAGCGCACGTTCTTAAAAATCGGACAATAAGAGACTTTTTTAAAACTTAAAAATACGCTTATTTCGTGCATAAAATGCAAAGGCAATATTGTTTTCTAGCAAATGATTAAAATAAAGCTTATTTTTGTGCACGCTTTCTATAACGTTCATTTTAATTTAGAAGACTATGGAAAATCCATAGGAAACATGCATGCTACTTGAGTAATCATTTTTTACTGAGTACGGTTTCTGGAAAAGGTCATGAAGGAGTGCATCCAAAAGCTGAAATTTTCGCTAGTCCGAAATGCTATAGGATTATGCCACAAACCAATCAATATTACAACTCCACCCAAGTGATCCTTTCTAATCAAAAACGCATTTCAGAATTTCAGTCAACATTTGGTGAAGTCGGTCATGCACTGTAAGTATTGCGTGTTTACCAACAAAGTGGTCAAGAGGGTGAGGTGGATTCATTGCTTTCTGTAGCAAACCCTACTTACGGTTGCCCTTTGTAGCACGATGCATATAACAATCTGTCTGCATAGATTCATGTTACACCTTATGTTTTGTTGGCCTTGTTGCCGCACTATAGAATGATATTATACACACCCTTGGTGTCTGTAAAGGCCAAGTAAACAGGTTGATCTAGTGAGAAATCTGCCGGACTCCCTGATAAATGTTGAATAAAAGGACATTTGTGGACAACAACCCTGCCATTTCTGTAGTCCTCTTGGAAAATGCATCGCAGAAAATGTAGTCAACAAAGAGGTGAAATCAAGATGCCAAATCAAAAGCGGTTTGGAACATTTGGATTTTACGCAGCTGAATAGACGGACTGCACTTTATGCTCCGTTATTGTTGATGCAGATCTTTTTACAAGCCTCGCTTTGCCGGCACCCTGACGTTTGGTCTCACTTTTTATAGAATTTAGCCAGGCAGAAGCCTTCTTCTTGAGATCATATCTTTGTCCGTTATCTTCATCCCGCCATTCCTTTCAGTCCAAGACTTCCTATCTCTTAGAAATAATAGAAGATCTAGAAAAGAAAGTGACCATTGAAGTGGCCGAATTGTTTCAGGTAACGTACTGTACCTTCCGCAAACTTGGATCATCTTAAAGAATCAAATGCATTCTACGTTAGGCATATTTAAATGTCATATGTAAACCTGTTTTTGACGTCATCATATACAACTATACTAAAACCGACAAATAACTTGAAAATTAAACGCCTGTCAGTCAATGTTTCCATTGTCTTGTGACTCATTTCGTCAAATGTGATGTGGATAAAACATATGTGGACAAAATATAATCACATGCTACGTCGTAGGTTTTGACATGCTTGTCCCGAATGTCCAACCTTATATTAACCTATGGTTTTTCTACCTTTTTGTCCAATTGATTTTATGAAGACAGCTATTTAAAAATAAGTGTCAAATTATGGAACTCAATGTCGAGCAAAAATCTGCACCCCAGGGTATTATACCTCTGATATAGTTAATTCCCGTCAGCAGTAACCTTGAAACGCAACAGAGGAAGGAGTCACATGCTCAGGGATGGCGTTTTTTAGTGTAGGAAGACGTGCGGCATTAAAGTAAAAGACGCGATCGCCTGTTTAAAATACGCTCGAAGAGTATCCAAGATTAACGTCGATTCGTACATTTTCGCAACTGACGGATGTAGAAATGCGTCGGTGGAGTGGTTCTTACCGAACTTAACGTTTGCGCCGCAATTTATTAGATAGAGGAAGCCTGCAGCGGTCTGTGCAAATTATTCAAGGTTTAGAGGTTTGGTCCTGCAACCCCACCTGATTGATACAATAATGTTAGTATTCAAAAGCCTTTAGTAAATGGGAACATGCTGGCTCTGCAAATATCATTATTGCATCCTCCTTAATATCTTAATCCAGCAAGTGACTGTGCCGCGGCGGAGGAGGAGAGCATATAAACCAGACTCGGGTAGTTCAGGTATCAGCTCGCATGCGTCTCCTTGAGCCTGCTTCGAACCCTATTTGCTCTCTTTCTTTATAACCTCACTCCAGCGACCAAATACGTATACGTGCTAATGGAATTGTTTGGATGGTGTGGAACTCCGTCGGCTCCACTACAGTGGCTATGCACTGCGAATTACCACGCGGTTCACTCCGTGGCTTTCTAGCTGTGGATGCGCTTCCATATCCTACTAATCTGGCGAGTGGCTAGTTCGGAGGAGAGTGTGTACTTGCCACCTTCACTCGCTTCCTTGCGCGTGTTTCGAGCTGTGCTTGCGCTCTCTTTCCCTTTCTTATCCAACGAATGACTAAGTCTTGTATGTTAGCTAATATTATTTTAGAAGGATAGACATACGGTACCAAGCAAGTGATCTGCAGAACCAAACCTCGCCGAAATCTCCCGCAGCAAATGTCACGGACGAAAAGTACACTTTTAGGCCTTCGTCCTTTTACTAAAGCTAGCCTGATTGCAGAGAAAACGGCTATTTAAACGCGGTCAGATGACTGAATCACAACTTGATCTTGCTAAAAATTTGAACAAGTAACCAAAGCGTGGTTCAGGAGATGCTTGTGCAAAGTTTTTTATGATCAATGTCCTTGAGTGACCACGACCACTTTCCAGAATATGCGATGTCGAGACAACAAATGGCCACTTAAACAATATATGTTGGAATACTGCCTCAGATGACAATACCTGTAAGTAAACTCTAATTATCTGGCTAGCCTTCAATATCAAGTGTGTAATAGGGATATAATAATGATTACATGCAGGCGACTATGTCATCAATGATCATGAATGGGACGACTACAAATTTCAGTATGTTTGCGGTTGTAATGTGACCTCCTGCTTAAATGCTGTAATCCAGTGCCCCCAGCTCGCGACGGGCAGGCAAGCAAATGCGCCGATCGGGTATCTCGCTGCGAAACCGTCCTCTTGAAGTAGCCTTCCTGTGTAATGGGCCTCCTCCTTTTCAGCGGACAGCAGATTTCTGCGTAAGGCGTTAACGGAAGCGCGTTTTTGCAAGATTAGATCCCTGACAGTCGAACTGCCTGTCAGTTTATGAATTCAGGAAGCATACTGGGCGGGAGATGTTCCTGACCTGGTAAGGTAGCCTATGCATGCTATACCCCGAGTAGAATGTAAGGCCGTTGCTGGAATACTGACATCCTCCTTGAGTTCTATTAAAATTAAAGTTGCAATGTCAAAATACATGACGTCAAAGATGTGCGTGTGTGTTTATGTTTAAGTAAAACACACATAAAAATAATTGCTTCCTTTTGGCCCTAGAGCAGGGGACGTAATATGTAATTGTGCAGGCCGAATTCTTACAACCGCTCCTGTCGGCACAAACGCAGTATTGAAATTTTCGCAAACAACGCATTTTTATTGACCTACAAATGTGTAAACAAAACAATAATACGGCAAAAAATCGTTAGACTGGGAGATATCTCGTTTTGTGTCAAAATGCGCTCTTTGAGTAGCTTTTAAAATCTCGCTTGATTGTAAAATAATGTAACTCACTTATGAATGCACTATCCAAAGTATGAGAATATGTAAATTAAACACCAATTTCGAATGCAACACTGACTACCAAAAGTATAAAACAGGTTGTGGGTACTTTCTATTTTTTTAATTTTTTAACGTCTGAAAACTATCATCCGGCTAAAAATCAAAAACAAAAAATGTTTACCCTTTACATTTTTCCTGTCAAAGTAGGAAAATTTCAAGAAACGTTACAGCACCGCGAAGAAACTGGATTAGTTGTAACATAAAGGTCATAATGTAATCCATGTTGGTCAGCATTTTAATGGGCAAATGAACTCTTTACTATCGGTTTCTGCAAATTGTTGTGCAAGGACGTTGAGGACATTTGTCGCAGAGAGATTACCTGCCTTACAACGAAATTCTCCCTCCGGTCAAAAGAAAAGGTACTGTCTAAAAAAAACTGGGTACAGAAATCGCTGTTCATGATAAATTTTAATGGTATAATTTTGAGCTTTCGATCTCGGAGTTCAGCATTTAATTTAAAACCACACACGTAATAAGAATAAAGATATCCAGATTTCAACAAAGACTCTCGGAAATAAAATGACGTTTGTTCATATAATGGATAAATGAAAAGGAAAATTACTGAATACTGAGACAACGGTTTATCTCGCAACAGCGTTCGTGCAGTATATAGATTGCAATGCACTATAAGTGTCTGATAGTCACTGAACTACAAACGACATGTGCTTTTGTTCTTCTTTAAGGTTCAAGTGCGAAACGTGCTAACAGCATATGCCTGCTTGCATCAATTACTTAGAATTTGTTTTCCAGTGGAAGCAACCACTTTCAAAATAGCAATTCACAATGGGAGCTGAACAACATTTTCATTTTTCTTGAGGTCCTAGATGGTAACGAAGCATTGCCTGTGTTTTATCCTTTAATTTGCCCAATACTTGAGGACAAATTAATGCTGATGTGAAATTTAAGTTATCCTAGCCCGCGAAAGTTAAAAAACACAGGATATGTTTTGCATACAAACCTCATTATAAATGCCCACAAAGGTACACACGCCGTTAAGGTATAGACATAGATTGAAATCAGACTGCAGTCTTTTAAAGGATTGTTACCTTCTTCCCAATATCAATCAACTTGTGTCCTTATGAACCTTTCAAATAAATTAACACTTCTACTTTGACACTATGTTCGTCAGTGTTAGGTGATGTCTACGTCAGATAATTTTTCTGCGGAAAATGTATATTGAATTCAGCAGATATAATCATTGCATACTATTTTTTCCTGCAGCATATGTAATGTCTTCCAAAATTAACAATATTTGTTTAAATTCGTTATCACATATGTAGGTAAAAATAAGTTGCCGAAAATTCCGAAAACTCATAGATTTAGCCTACTTTATAAAAAACTTGGTTGTTTGTACTTTTTATTGGAGGTCTCGATACTTAGGTTTACTGACTTATTTGATGTTAGGGAAACAAAACCACGATCATATCAGAAATAAACTTTGTTAAGGTTCATTTATATTTTACGCTCACAATGCTCGCAAAGACGCAACCTTGCTTTTTCTTCACAATATCTTTAAGCGACTACTTTTCGCAACCGCTACAATGCTCTAGAGCATTTGTATTTTTCCTATAATTTTAAGGCAGTGCTTATTGTTGTTACTGTCTGACATATTCACAAAATATTCTGCAAAAACGCGGTCCAGATGCAGCTGGTTCTGGAGAATAATGGCCTAATTCTAATTGTTGAGGCAAGCTGAACAACTACTTTCGTACTTTTAATTTTTCCCCCATGACACTCTCGCGCTCCAACCAATACCCCTCCTTCCTTCTCAATTGCCAGTAGTCCCCTGACATTCACTCACATCACAATAATCCACAAGATCATGTGTCCTAAGAGACATGCAGGACAGTCGACTTTGTCCCCGAAGTGTTGAACCTAATTCCATATTCAACAATCTCAAATGTCTGCTCGCTTTTGTCGTCCGCAGCGAGGACCGATCTGGCATGGTCTTCATGCCTCATTTATTTCGTATTCTCAGGGGTCGTTTGGACAGACGGTGGTAAATTTCGCAAAACAAATTACAAAGGGAGTTTATGTGCGTCAACTTAGGGTGTGATAAAAGTAACAATAATATTTCCGGTGTGCAGGAGTCACTTTACGCAGAGAGCATCTCAGCCAGCATTAGAGACAGTAATGACTGGTGGCTTCTGCAAATTGTAAAAGTTTCGGGGAAAACTGATCTCCAACTGAGCTAATTAACATCAAAGCAGTCTCCGGTTAGGTCGTCCTTGCCGAACAGGGTAGGTTTCTCGTGGTCGTGTCTTCTTCTCCAAACCGGAAGAAAAACGATCGCGGAAGTTCTAAGATTTAACGGAAGTTACCCTAGTCTTCTGCGCCTATGCATAAACCGGGAATAATTTTCATTTTTTAGAGCTTTCATCAAAAGTTCGCAACATATCTTAAACAATGCCCGACAGCATGTCATTCAGACCGATTCAAGTTTTATCAATTCTCTATATTCTATAGAAATAAAATCGCTTATTTCAGTGATTGTAGTTATTAATCTCGGCGAATGATGTTGCTTCCGTTCAAGTGTGACTGCATAGGAAAATTTCATTTAAATGATACAATCACATTTTAAAAACTGTTAGGTTTTCATTAGACATTGCATCTTTACCCAAAGGAAAATGCATATTATGGATTTGCTATGTATACTGTGAGTGACCGATCTCACGAAATGTCTACCGAAATTTGGAAATATATTTTAGATTTGGAGGAATTGCTTAGGTACCGTTTCAAAACTGTTTATCAAGCGATATAATCCTATAATGTTTTGAACTCGCCAGGAGATCGACTTTTGAATATATTTCTTTTTAACCCCCTACAGAAACAGTACTTGGTTAGAAATGACTACTTAAGCAGCATACATTTTTAACATTGATTTCTGAAGGTCTTATAAATTTAAATATATTTTGTAAGAAAGAGGCGTAAAAGTATATTTTCTATTGCCCGTTTGGTAGAAGATCACGTTATGTTTGCATTTTATATCTGAAGAACGAGTATAGTTAGCTTTTGGAAAAGTGAATATTTATGAGATTTTTAAGACTATTCAATGTCCATTCATACAGCATAGTACATGTCCGTTTGAAAGTGATCAGCATCTTCTGCAATATTTTGTGAACTTTGCATAGTATTTTTCTAAAATCATAGATGAATATATGATTTTCCTTATGCCGAAAGCATGCGTCTTGTTTACTGCAATGGCTGAAAGCTAATGAAACGGCTGATCAGGCTTAAAATTATTCGGGCATTGGGAAACTTTTTTCAAAGCCCAAATATACTCTCCTTTCAAATAGAAAATGTAAAGACAACGTGATTCTCTACCGCATGGGCAAAAGAAAGCATATTTTTATGCATGTTTCCTATAAAATATATTTATATTCATAAGACCATCAAAAGTCAATATTAAAAAGGTATGCCGCTTAAACAGTCATTTTTACGAAGTGCGGTTTCTCTAGAAGGTTAAAAACACATACCTTCAAAAGCCGATATTCTATAAAATCCGAAATCCTCTAAGATTATGTCGCATGTTAGTCAGTATTTGCAAATCTCCACTTAAACAGTTCTTCCTTATTGAAAAAGCATTTCAGAATTTTGGCTTGCATTTCGTGAGATTGGTCTTTCACTGTAGATGCTGCGCGTAATTTCCAATAGCAAGGACGTGTGCTGAGTCCGATGTCAGTACATGGAAAGTTATGTAATCGCTTTATCCTATGTGATGATATTGACAGAAAAAATGTCCTCACCGGCAAATACAGAAGCAAAGATAACGTTAAAATTCCGTTTAGACCTAAGGCTACTACGAGTACACCAGGCAATTCAGTTAGACAAAAAAATATTCTGATTGAGCTAAATTCTTTAACACCATTCTGCAAAGATAAAATTATAAATTTCTTGTTTCGCAAGATAATTACAATATTTACCTTGTCAGCATCCTTGAGCTGATTCATATGGAAATATCTCGTAATCTGCTGAATTCATGATGTGCCGTAGAAAGTTTAGCCTTATACATATTATCCAGGTAACGATAGCTCAAGAACGTGTAACTTGATAACTAAGCATCATAGATGTATTTTGAGCAACATTTTGATTGTAAATATCTCTTAAAAATCTCAGGTAGGGATAACTGGAAAATTGTTTTGTTTTTTTACATGTTCTCTAACACGTTAAATTGGAATTTGTTTGATCTCGATAAAAGACAAACATAATCTTGTAGATTAGTTAATCTACTATAAATTATAATTTATGTTTCGATATGATTGAGATAACAAAAGTGACAAGTAGCAGCAAAATATCTTACCGGAAATTCGTTAACTTAATCGTTGGTAATATGTCAGCTTTATACCACAGCCCTCCAACACACACCTCGACCTACTTTGACGATTCAACCTATGGGTTGGTGGTACCTTGCCTGTTGTCAATGCTGCTGGTTAAAGTAAACGTGTCAGTGTGATGCAGGAATGTATACCCCTCACCCAGAACTGCAGGTTTCCTTGAGCTAATTTTCTCGTGTTTTTGTTCTCGCCCTAACATTTGCCTTCCTTCCGGCATCTTAATCCTGATAGTAATCCTCAAACACCTAAACTTAACCCTAAACCTCTCAACCCCAAACCCAAACACTATACTTATCGTAACTCTTTTAGTCTTGTCTGTAACTCCATCTTTCTAGAATACGGATCAAGGCCATCAATGTTGTTCCTCTCGCCCATATATCTGACTGTGCACCGATGTCTGACAAACATTCCTGAGACGCGCAGCAAACCACTTCCATCAGTTTGTTGCTTAGTATTAAGAATTTTAACTGTGTCTGTTTTGAGGTATCCAACTTAAGGCAATTTAGACCAAAAAAAGACTTTGAGTTCATGATACGGAATTTGCCGACAGCTACTGGAAGAGATCCTTTATCAACGGGCATTCTTCTCGTCTTGGGCTTCATTCACGAACGAATATATATGTTATGCAGGTGAGACCAGAGGCACGTAAATTGGCACATAACCGTTTCAAGCTTATTCCACCTTCATCCAGGCCTTCATCCGAAAACTGAGACACTAGCATGCGAACGCATACAGTCCAGATAGCCTAAAAACGTGGCCTATCTGTTTAATCACAAGTAGCAGTTCAGAAGATGAAGATGCGATGTCCCAGTGATCGCATCTTCATCTTCTAACCTTTGCTTCTCTAAATGTCAACTTTTTTTCTGTAGGCGGAAGATCGTTCGACAACAGATGGAGTTCTCCTACAATCAGCGGAACCGTGTACGTAAGGATACTTCAATCATCTAAGTTGCACCCTTTCCTTCAAAATGACAAATAGCGGTTTCATAAAGGTGATTATTTATGAAAACAAAATCACTACATAGAGGGTCAGAAATCCTTTATTTGGCTGCAATTCAAACGCGCCGAATGGCCGAAATTTGGCCTCCTTTATTAAAATAGATGTCCCTCCTCGCTTAAGTTGAAGATCATTAGTAAAGTATTGGTGTGCTTGGCACCAAGTTATTAGCAACTCCCTATGTCCTCTTTTTCACTGTACCACCCGGCGCTGGCAAATCCCGAAACTGTCCCATCTAATCCTCAGGCTAACTGTTTGATTTTCTTCTCGTTTAGCTTTCTAAGAACCGTTCTTAGGCCACCTGGGATGCGGACTTCGAGAAGGTCTATTTCAGCTCTATAACTCCGGCCATAAATAACTGAGTGTTTCTACGAAGCAGGCAACGCGCAATTTTGATTTGAGACGGTGTATTTGCCTAGGTCTTAGTTGCGGGAAGCATAATAAGAAAAGGATTATCATGCAGCAGGACTCCGTCAAACGTCTGGATCGCAGAAAGGACACAATTTCATTAAATGTGGAAGAACCGGCCGCGAATGAAACACAAGCATGCTAGGTGTGACGGACAAACGGCGTGTAGTGACACGTTTTGTGCCTGCGAGGTGACGGGAGTGTCTAGGCGTGCAGATTAGCGAGTCCAAATGGCACATGCGTTCGCGTTGGCCACTCGACGTCTAAGTGACCACCTGTCACCTTCTTTGTGTAACATGGGTTGCCTGATCTGCCATTGTTCTCAGGCGATGGAGTCGTTGAAGTGCCTGAAGTGATGGTTAACGTGCTGTGGTGCGTCTCATGCAACAACACCCGTTTATCAGGCTAGCATCACGAGACTTATAAACCCCTCGTCTATCATGACCGGGTTCCGTTACGGGTAAGACGACCAGTAGATCCCTCAGCAGCATTTGAAAATCAGTCGCAGGGAAGAATCCGTCTGCAGTCGGCCAAAAGCCCTTAGGACTTCAGAGTTATACTGCGGGTTGGCAGTGCAATTAGTCGTGATCTATCTTGGTTGCAGTTCGGAACAGCAGTTATTTCCCCTGTAGAATAGTCAGTCGATAGATAGAGAATTAGTGGGCGGTAATGCCTCGGGGTACACAACTAGACTGGCGATCGAATCTGGGCTCATCCTGGTCTGCTTTTGGACCTAGTCAATCTGATAACCGAGACTAAGTCAAAATACATCCATTGCCGGTTTTTTGATAATTCGTCGTAGTCATGACTTGGAACCATCGACAGGCTACGCTGTAACTGTACAAGACCAAAACTGAGGTCTGATTACCTCACGCCACGAAATGGTTGGACAGCAGAGAGTCAGCGCTAGCCTATATGTACTTCCCTGTATGCCGCGTATGGTGAAGCAACGCATCTAAACTTCGGCCTTCACATCGGGACAAACAATGCGCAAAATCCCACCACAAACTGGCTGTCAGACGCGTAGAATCAACTAGCACATGACAGCACTTAGGGAATATGAGGTCGTCACTGGTTAACCCATCCAAACGACACACTAGTGTATTCCTTTCTGTAATAAGAAATCCAGCATTAGACTAGCAAGATACGTGGAAATTTGATGCTTGGAGAGTTTGAAGCTAAGGGAATATCTCTTTCATTTTCAGGGCTGAGGGTTAAAATGCAGTGGTATCTTGGCTATATGACCTTTAAGGCTCCGTAGACGCTGTCATGTCAGCATCGGCTATCCATGGCCTACGCAGCTTGGTGAGCGCTGACAGCTCTTTGGCGTCTACTTCCCTGCCCGTAAATGCGCTTGCGCCCTCGCTGGGTATAGAGGTCGTAAGCATAGCTGCATAGCGGCTTTCTGATCCGTTTTGGTGCTGCTGTTGGTTAAAATCCTGGTGATTTGCTGCGTCACCCAGTAAGTATGGAGTGGAGCGTCCGGGTGCGAGCTTTGTCGCGCTTTCCACCTGCACCCTCTTTCACCTCCGATCCTATTGACTCTGTCCTGACACCCGGCCCAGGTTGAGGAGGAGGGGAGATTGCAGCAAATGCTGCTCAATTCTGCTGTCGCTATTGACTAACTCACGCGCAAGTCATCATGCCTGCCTCAGCTTCTTGTGGAGCACACTGCGGACATCGTCGGAAAACGGTCGAACCTTCACGTGGAATTTATGACACCCTCACACATGTGTGACCAGAGCCGACCTTGTGAAAGCATCGTACATGCTGAGGGCCAGATCGGTTTTTGAAAGACGTATACATGCTGCTCAACCTCTGTCAATCATTACGCCTGCCCCAGACTCGGGGCGGCCTGATGTCGTCTTCGATGAGAATTAAGTGAGAAATTAACGAAGGTGATGCGGCAGATGCTTCCAGGGTCTGTTCAACGAGAAACGGATTTACTCGCAGGCCGCCGCAGTTGCGTCATATTTGTAGGCAACAGTGTACACGTCATCATTCGTGGCGATTAAACTGCCGCTTGGTCCTTCATATGCGGCAACCTGTAGGACTCCAGGCCAAAGACACTAACCAACGCCTGTCCTCTGATTTCCGTCCTACCCCTTTGAACGGTTCCTACTGCAGTAAATTTAACCTGAGTACATACTCCAGCATATATTTCAAATGGAAGGTAAGTTGAACCTTCGACAGGCAGTAATATAAAAACGTCCAGAACCACGATGCCCAATCTTCTGCCCTCCCAACGTCTTGTTAAGCAGTTTTAAGTAAACAATATTCCCGCCAACCATCTCAATGACTTTGTCGCTTTAGGTTGGGATTATATTTGTTGAACTGCATAAAACTGCTGAGGCCTGTTCAATTCCTAAAACGTTCGCTGTGATGTTAGACTCCTAAAACATGTATTGAATGTCCTTTAAGTGCTTAAGTCCTGATTGAAATGAGAAACGAAATCCTAAGGCATCTCTCTTGCATCGGACGCACTTTCGAGCGTTCCGAAAACATCTAACACTCCTTTCGACTTCTTTTGACAGGCTCGTGGTAGACCTTTCATTACAACCAATCGGACGAATATGATCGTGGACTGTGTTGGGTCGCAGCGACGGCATCAGGATTCTTCCTCGGACGCCCTGAAAATAAGCAAACCTCTCCAGTCTGCAGAAAGAATGCAAAGCCCGACGCTTAGAATATCCCGTCCCATCAAGGAAGTTCACTCAACCATCTCTCCCCTGGAACTGAAAACGCTCAATGTGAATGCCAATACTCTGGCTGATGTACCTGAGTTGCCAACGAGGTCCACTACTGAATGTTCCTTGGTAAACGCCCAGGGCTATCTGCAGGGCAATGAAATGAGAACTTTCGACAAGCAGGAGGTCGTCTACATCGAGAACTGCTTAGATGTTGGCAATCTTCTGCTCATTCAGCCCACATCGCAGTTAATGGACGCGCAGTGGGTGCTTAATTCGGGTAACGAGATTGTGCACTATCCCGCCTTCTCTGGTTCAGCAGTCAGCAAAACAACTTAACTTTCCGAAAAAATAACAATTGCCGCATGACAAAGTCTAAGTTGGCGGATTGTCCATTGACGTACATGTATCTTTCGGAATTTTTACTCTGTGAAAAACTCAGATGTTTGGCACAAAACCTGGTGGTTTTCGATCGTTGCATATAGCCGTTTTGTTTAAAATGTGTTCACAAGAACGAGGAAATGTAAGTCTTATATCAGAAATTCCCTCTCTTTGAAATAACTCCGTGAGCTTTTATTTGCACCTGAACATTATTTTTTCCAAAAATGTAAACAGACAACTGAATTACTTTGCAGTCCAAAATTCTGTATTTTCCTTAAATACAGAGTTCATTTAAAAATACAAAATGAATATAAAAAACAAACAACATTTCTGGGGTCTCATTTGGTAGTATTCAGTTTTGGGGTAAACCGCATTCATAGAACCTGTTGCCAAATTTCCTGAATTTATATATAAAACTGACTCAATAAGAATTCGTCGGTGGCGGTGGCATTTCAACAACCTACTGATAAACTATGACATTCCATAGAGTCGTAAATGTGGCAAAAGGTACATTTGTTGGAGTTTCGCACCGGTGGATATGAAAGTGTACGTGTTGTTCGCTGACTCAATTTGAAAAAACGGTCCCATGAAATCAAACCGGGTATGCGTCGCGGATGTTGTTCTGGTGTAATTTGTTAGGGAAATTCCGGATTAATGGAGCCTCATCAGGGATGCATAGAGGCGGCAAGTTAATCTTCCCTGTTACTCAATACTCGGATCGACCAGTCGAAATTATGCACTGATTCACACAAAACGCAAATGAGAACAAATTTTGCTACGCACGGAAAGTAGTTGATCTCTTTTTAATGTGGGCGTCCTTTAGAAACCGGGGTCATTTATGTTCCCTCGGATGTAGTATAACATCAATAATGAGAGCACGTTTAAATGTCACTTGAAAGAGAAAAATATGCGACAATTAAGAACCAGAATACGACCATAGGTGATTTCTGTTAAGAGCAGGTCCGTAAAGTCTATCGCGCGTCAAACCTGTTGGCAGGTATGTGCAAGACGCCTGATAAACTAATAGGATTTCCTGTTGATGTTTATTTTAATTTTTCAGTTAAACTGTAGCTCTTGTCAGAAGTTCTTTTAACTTAAGTTCCCTAAAAGCTCTACTTAGTGCCTCCATATATGCGGACGATTTTCTAGACTCAGTTACTTGCCATAGGCTATCCATGAATGCAATGTCACGTGTGGCTAAAAGTAACGGATAGTTACCACGAATCCCCTGTTTAGTGGACATTGGCTACATTTATGGCATTCACTAGACACTAATGGCAGGCAACAGGTACTGCAGGAAGGCTGTGCAGCAACCGCGGTCCACTGGGGTCCTAAATGACAAATAAGAAAGATAATTATCTACGTGACTGACAGCACGTATATCACGTTTGTTAATGCAGACATGAGGAAAAGCGTACTTTAAAATAAACAGTTATTTTCCTTGTCTAACGGGCCTGATTCACATGCTAATCCTCCAATTGGGACACTACCAAATCAGGAACGCAGACCAGAGGCCAAACTGATGGGAGTCACTTGTCATATGACTGCATGCCTGCTCGAATTGACAGCCGCTGCATCCATCGTTGGTGGCTGTTCCTGGTATGAAGAATGCCTAATGGCCCACGGCACAGTAAAAAATCAGGTGAGGCGTTCTAACTGTTTTATGCTTTGAATAACCGATAGAGACTGTGTTTTCGCGCGTAGCCTCAGCGCAACCAATAAATCTGCCAAAATAAGGCTGTAGTACTAAATACAGTGGGTGACCGATCTCGCGAAATGTTGGCTGTTGGTTGATGTTTAAATCCTGATTCCTCGCCCCTATCAGTGTGTGACCGATCATATGAAATTTCGGCTGAAATTATGAAGTGTGTTTTCGATTAGGAAGGATTACTTAAACATGGTTGTAGTAGGGTAATCTTGCGACATAGTTTTATGATATTCCGGACTCGGAAGGAGGTCAGTATTTGAATACGCTGCTTTGCAATCTCCTGTGGAAACCGGACTTGGTAAAAAAGAACTACTTAATAGTCATGCATTTTTCCCATTGATTTACGATGGTCTTCAAATTAAAATATATTTTAAAGAAACCATGAACAAAAATACGCTTTTCCTTAGTCATTTCATAGGCAATCACGTCGTCTTTATATTTGCTAGTCGACGAAGCAGTATGATAAGGTTTTATAAAAGTTTCTAATTATGACATTTATTAAGACTGTGCAATGTCCATTCAAACAGCATCGTACCTGACCGTTTACTACAGCTCCTCATGAAATGTGCCACATAATCCCCATCCGTCGCAACATTTTATGGACTCTGTAACGTATCTTTTTCAGGTGATAGAAAAAAAGTGTAAGTTTCCTTACGCGAAACGCATGCACCTTGTATACTGAAACCACCAAACGTTAAAGTAACGATTGATCAGGCTGCAAATATTTCGGGAATTATAAAACATTTTTAAAACCTACTTATACTCCTTCTTCGAGTATACAATATAAAAAATACGTGATTCTCTATGGAAGGACAAAGGGAGGATATAGTTTTGTTCGTTGTCTCTCTAAAATATATTTGTATGTGCAAGGCCATCGGCAAGAATGTGAAGAATTCTTGAGTACTACGCCACAGAGTTGTGACTCTCATTCAGTTAGTAAAATCCAACATGTAAACATGAAAGAATTGAACTCTGAAGCTGACCATGCTGCACTATTTCCCGAAGGACATATTTATTTTTCTCGCCCATTTCGTGTGTCACCAACTGTTAGGCTGAATTCGCATATGTAATCTGAACATGTGTTATCTAATCGCCGTTATAGATTTCTTCAATTTTAATAACACATAAAGGAAAATCAGTCGCAGACAAACCCAACAAATTTATGCCGCTCTGGTAAGGCATTCGCCTATGCAATGGGCAGCTCCAAACAGTAACTGACTCAAGAACAGATGTACAGTAGATGTGCTAACTCATGAAATATCAACCAAAATTTCGAAATGCGTTCTCGTTTCGAAAAGATAAATTAAGTAATGTTGTAAACTAATTATGATGCAGCAGAAATCTATAATGATCTAGTTACCTCAAGGTGTCGGCTTTCAAAAAACTTATTTTCTTCAGCACGCCAGATCTATAGTCTGAAAAAACTACTTAAGTAGTATGCAATTTCCTCATTGATTTTCGATGCCCTAAAAATTCAATTATATCTCGTAAAAAACATGCATAAAAATATTCATTCTTTTACTTATTCTGCAGAAAATTACGTCTTCTTCCAATTTCATACGCAAAAGAAGAGTACAATTCGGTTTTAAAAAGTTTCTAATGCACTCAAATTCACTGCTTAAGTTTATGAACCTTATATGTTCTCCTTTTAACACCGTAGAGAAATGCATCGTTTTCCGTACACGGAAAATATACAGCTTGTAGTTTTGAAACCCTCTAATGCAAATGTAACAGCAGGTCGGATTCAAAATTATTCTGGAACTAGAAAAGTTTTTTTAAACCACATTATGCTCTTTTGGCATATGAAATTGGAAGAAGACGTGATTTTCTACCGAATAAGTAAAAAAATGAATATTGTTATGCATGTTTTCCATGAAATATAATTGAATTTTCATTGGCATCGAAAATCAATGAGCAAATTGCATACTACGGAAGTAGTCATTTTTTTCAGAGTATAGATTTTTAATGCAGTCGAAAATAGGTTCTTTCAAAAGCCGACACCCTGAGGTAACCAAATCATTATAGATTTATGCTGCAATGTGATCAGTTTTACAACACTACTTAATTTATCTTTTCGAAACGAGAACGCATTTCGAAATTTTGGTCGACATTTCATGAGTTAGCACATGTAATGTACGTCCCAGCAAAAGAAAACTATTTCTCATTGTACGCAATGACAAAAATCATCATTCAGCAGGAATTGATCAGATGATATACACTGAATATTTGGCAATGTAGATGACCCTCCTAATCGGGTGAAGATCTAGTGTAAACCACTTTTACGGTCATCTATCAGTTGCAGGTTGGGTAGCATACAGGACGCTACCTTCGTGTCCAGTAGGCCCTACAGGAAGGAAAAGAAAATGGAAGCACTCTCCACCGCAATACCAGCGGAATTGCGCAAAAATCTATGGATTGGAGTTAGTGTCTAGTTCAGAGTTAAGGTTAGGGCGGGATTAGGGTTTAGGCGTTGTCTGGGGTTTAGACTAGAGTTGGTGTTAGGCGGAGACAATAGGCACCCCTCGCGGAAATTCGTCCAAGTCCACCTGTGCTTCGTGGTTAATTGCTACTCCCGTATCTTATTGCCAAACGTCAGATGACAATCGTAGTCGCCTACGGACAGCTGTTTACTACACAGAAGTCAGTCACATTTATTTTTCTCAGACTAAGTCTTGCGTGAATAACAGGAAGTCATGTCTGTTTCATACTAACACGTAAAAGACGCGTTTACCCATCGCTATTGTCCTGCATGCAGCAGTAATCACGGGCTGTTACACAGCAGATGACCTATTTCATAAAACCTGCTGACGGAAACTGAGACGAGAATTTCGAGACATCTTAAACCTTATCCATTTCGATTGCTCGCCCAGTTTCTTCAAAGAAGTGTAATTTTCTTATGCACAAAATGCGTTCGCGCAAATTTACCTGTGAAAATGTTCATAAGTCTAAGAAAAAGATTGACGTTACGAAGAAGGAGCCTTCTGATTGATTTCGCGCGCAGTCACCATATGCCGGTCACAGTTGAAAATTGAACTGCGCAATTTTCAATGAGACACCATGGGCTATTCCGCATGCAACGTCCAGAGTGTATTTCCTGTGTACGGTTACCGCCCAGGCCAACTACGTGCAGTAGATAATGTCTTTAACTTTTACCTACAGTAGCATGCAAAAAAAGACACGCTGACCTCGGTGAGTAGTAGTTCTTGGGTGCGCAGTATAGCACCGCTTTACAGTCCACCACCAATTCCTT